TTTGCTGACCAATAAAGCCCTAACACCTTTGACGCTTCTGAAGAGCCAAAATAAAATTCATCAAATTCTTGTGTATGCTGAATATTTGTGAATACCTCCAAATTGTTTGATTTCCATTTTCTGAGATGAAATCCTCCTGATTTTAATATTTCATCTATTTTTTGGCACAATATGATTCCTTGATTAACTGAATCTACACCTGTAATTAAATCATCTACAAAGAAATCATTCTTTATGACTCGAGCTGCTTCTGGATTGGATTTTTCATTTTCGATACCTAACTGGACCAGACATCTCGTGGCCAAATATGGACCACTTGCAGTGCCATACACTACCCTGTTGAGCGCATATGTCTGCAGTTCTTCGTTAGGATTGTTTCTCCAAACAATTAATTGCAACGGATGGAACCTTTTGTGTACCATCACTTGTCTGTACATTTTACAAATGTCTGCACAAATTACTATGTTATGTTGTCTAAACCTTAACATAATTGAATACAATTCATCTTGAACTACTGGACCTACCATTTGAATGGAATTGTATGAATGTCCTGAAGATGACAATGCGGAACTATTGAAAACAACACGAAGCTTGGTAGTGTCACTTTCTTCCTTTAAAACACCATGGTGTGGTGAATAATAGGTAATTTGAGTATCACTAGGAGTAAACCGTGTCATGTGGTTTAATTCTTCATATTCTTTCATGAAGTCTGAATACAACTTCTTTAGTTGGGGGTTGACTGCTAGCTTTCTCTCTAAACTGTAAAACTGTTTCATTGCTATGTCCTTTGAGTTCCCTAACCTTGATATTGGTTCCTTCAACGGAACTGATACAATGAATCGACCTGATGTATCACGTTGAACTGTGTTTATGAAATGTTCTTCCACTTGCTGTTCTTCATTTGACAACTGCTTGTTGTCCGGAATGGTATCTAATTCCCAAAACCTTGCGACCTGTGATTCTAAATCGGTGACTTTCGTAAAATGACATTTGCTATTATTTGATGTTAATTTAGATAATCCAAGTGGCCCTGAAATTATCCACCCTAAGACTGTTTTTTGTAGCACTGGTAGATGTTTTCCTAAGTGAATCGTACCTGTACATATGAGATTCCAATAAGAATCTGCACCAATGAGGATATCTATATTTTTGGGTTCATTGAACCTATCATCTGCTAGTGTAATATTGTTGGGAATCGGTAATGAAGATTTAGAAAAATACCTATTAGGCAAATCATCTGTTATTTGTGGAATAACTAAACACTGAAGAGAACATGAAAACTGATTACTGAGAGACTTAACTGTTACATTACAAGAGGATTGAATCACAGACTGATTCTGTGCAAGTCCTGATACTGACAACTGAACCCTTTGTTGAGTAATCCCTAGGCGATCTGCTAAACCTTTTGATATGAAATTAGACATTGAAGCATTATCTAAAAGTGCTGTACAAATATGCTGATTTCCATGCTTGTCAAATACTTGTACCAAAGCTGTGGCTAATAAGACCTGACCACTTGTTGAAAAATTACAAAAATTCTTGATTATTGTATCTGGTTTAGCTTCCTGATTTGATTCTGGAGCTTGATTTAAAACTTGCAACCCATTACTGACTGTACTCCTTAGCTGAGTATCTACTGGTACAGTAATGTTAGTATGTCTGTTTTGACAATATGAGGTTGGATCTGCTTCAAGTTGACAGTTTTGATTTGAATCCAAATTTATACTCTGAGGATTGTGAGCTGAAGAACAATATATACTACCATAAGCTGTAGTTGACTCTTTGCTCTGAGAACCTTGACCAGAAGTGTAAAACTGACCTGCTTGTGAACCTATGCTCTGAAAACTTTGAGCTGAAGTATTGACTTGATCTGAATGCGAATCTGTGCTCTGAAAATCTTGAGCTGGACCATAAACTTGATCTAAATGCGACCCTGTGTGAACTACATGGGTATATCTTATCTTGGAATCATGCAACAAAGAATTGTGTTTCTCTGGACAGTGCCTACAATGACCATGGTTACAAGTAGTAGCTTGGTGTCCTTGACGAAAACAATTCTCACAAATTTTGAATAAACTTACCTTTTGCCTCCTCTGACTGACTGGCAATTGCAAAAATTCACTACATTTAAATAAAAAATGAGGTTTTTTGCAGTAATAACACGATAATGTATTCTGCTTATCCTGTTGACCACCTGAACTTACCACAAACGCTTTCTGTTTGAAAGATGAAACCTTGTGCTTGATTTTATGTTTATTGACCTTGTCAATGAAATTTGCTCTATCTGATAAAAATGAAATAAAATCTTCCAGATTAGGAAAATCTGTATTTACTATTTGTTTCTCCCACTCATCAATAGTATCATTATCAAATTTACTAGAGACAATAAATATAATTAATAAATCTGCCAAATGACTTTTATTAACGCCTAAACTTTCTAATGATGCTAGTTTTATTGAGATTAAATCAACAATATCTCTATAGGAGCTTGAAACATCTGGTTTTAATTCTTTTATGTTCACTAATGATTTTATATGATTGTGAATAATTAATGATTTATCATCATACCTGTCACATAGTGTTTTCCATGCTAACTCATAATTTTCGGCTACAAATGCTATGGATTTAATACATTGTGCAGCAGAACCTTCTAGTGATGCACGTAAATAATGAAATTTTTGAATGTGTTCCATGTGATCAGAATTGTGAATTAATGATAGAAACAAATCACGAAACTCTAACCATCTGTCAAATAAACCAGTAAATTTTGGCAATTCTATAGTTGGTAAACGAATATTTGATTGACCTTTAACTACAGACATGTTTAATTGTGACTTTTTTGACTCACCTTGATTTGATAAATATTCTTTGGCTTCCGAAATCACCCTGTAATATGTATTTTCAAAAGTTAATGTTTCTGATTCATCAAAGCTTTGAGCATCTAAACATTGTAACTCTAATTGTAAAGCTAAAAATTCATTTAATACAAATTGTAATTGATCCAATCTAGTTTGTAACTGAATTGTTTCAGTTTCAGATGTTTTTTCTAATCTCACTGACTGAAAAAAATCTACAAATCTATTTAATTTACTAATTGCTGCGTTCTTTCTAATTGTAAATCTAGCAATTTGACTTTGTAATGCTATTTGAGTTGGCATATGTGGTAATTCTGGATTAACTGTGTCTTCCATCATGTAAATGTACAATCAAGAATAAAAAATGCAAACCACTCAACCACCTGAATAAATCCAAACAAATTTAAATGACTACTTACAATACCAAATCCTTAGTACTTCAACCTGTGAAGACGACATCCAAATCCTCGCTGTCTGGAAATGAAACCGGCTTCGCCTTGTGGTTGAACTCGTAAAAAACAGTGGTAGTTGATAGAAAAACTTGAAATCCTTTTGAACCTTGTCGGCAACTTGCTGTTTGTTTGATGTTTGCTTGCAATAAATTAGGTCACCTCTGGCACTTCAGTAATGTAAAAACATCCGGCGAGAATGATCAAATGTTTTATGTTGGCGTAGGTTAGACCATTCTTGTTTTCTTGAATGATTCTGTTCGCCTTTGTAACTGGTGCGCTGGTTTAACTTCGGTAGTGGACTGTATCTCTTGTAAATATTAAAGGATATGTGCACAGATACCAAATTTATTATTCAAACTCTTTTAACAAAAATAAATCGACTATATCGACATGCTATATCTTAACCTCAACCTATATATATTCGACCGACTGTCGCTCTCGGCTGGCAGGTGACGATTCTTCTCTTTTTCGGCAAGACATGAAGTGTCAACCGCCAATACAGCTAAGGCCCCGTCTACAAATGTGCGGCAAATTTAAATAATTCTCATTATTTTACATTTCTAAACAATCTGTGAAGATGGCAACTGAACAGAACGTTCTTTCCTGCCTTTCTATTTCTTCCACGCAGTGATGGATTGCAGTTATTTCCGCCTGGAAAACTGTCACATCCTTAGATAGACTTACCGGGAAATGTATCCCTTGATTTGTCCCTACTATGCCGGCTCCCACACCCTCCGATGTTTTTGAGCCATCCGTGTACCAGATAGCAGCAGCTTTTATGGGGACACCTTTATTCCAGTCTTCCCTGTTAAAATCTAATCTAATCTAAGGTGGAATATCATCTGCATTGTTGATGGATTGATGGATTTTCTGTTACATCTATGGAATTTTTAGACATTTTTGTCTTGTGAATTTAAAATGAAATATTATTTAGTTTCTTTCATCAGCCATGGTCACAATGTTTGTATTTCTGTATCAAAATACTATTGTAATGTGTGGTTTCTGTTATATCAGTAAAAGGAAACAATTACATAATCATACATGTATATAAATGTAAAATTAAAATTAATTTCATTGAATAACAAGTATAAATTTTGAGAATGAGCTTATGAAAGGATACAAATTTAAGGATGCGAATTTAAATAGATTAGAGCAGTGTTTTGGAAAATTTTCATCTTCAATTCAAGTATAGGTGGTTCTCTAAGAACAAGACTTTATTATGTTACACTTCCCAATTTCTGTTGGGTTATCATCTTTAAATATGTCTTCGACATAAGTTTTACACAGCTGTTGAATGTCAATTAAAATTCTGTAGCTGTTACTTATTATAAAATATAAGTGGTGTTTATTTTTCGTGAAAGTTCAGATGATTTTTGATATGTACAGATCATACATCAATATATTGCTGTAAAGTTTTTTTTTTGATATAAATATACAAATTGTTGGCATTTCAACCACAAAGTATATAAATTTATTGTATAAATATTAAGAGTGGACTAAGAACCAAACTTTTGATAACTATAGTTGGACCGATCACTGTTAATTTTCATTTAAATTAAAAATTCTTCTAAATCAAAACCATAATGTTTCTTTTCAAATTACACCTTTTCAGACAATAATTTAGCTGTTCTACAAATTAAAAATCATTATGGAGTTTCAAAATAAAAAAAATTATCTATATAATTTTTTTCAGACACTGGAATCAAACCAACGCAGGAAAGATATTTACCATGCACTGACGGCTAACATGGCAGTCATATTCGACTTCTTTCTCAGACTCATAGAACTGCAGGTCAGTCAGTTTAGACTCAACAGTGAGTCTAACGTTACCAAAGCCAATGCTCATGGTCGAGTAGTCCAAGTTGTTTTGTTGACTCTTACTGGCTTTGTAGAATGGGTTTCCATGAGTCACATAATGGCACAAAACGGAAGATTACTACAAATTCTTTGCCTTCTATTAAATGATACTGCATTTCAGTATTCTGCAGCGGAATGCCTATCACAGGTAATATTTTGACTTAAATATACATTCCTCCATTCTCATGTTGTTCTTAATTTTTTCCTTCTCAAAAATCATCTAAATATTTTTGAATTTTCGCCTACTTCCGTTCACATAATCGCAATTTTCGTATTTTCAGATTGTAAATAGAAAAGGAAAAGTGGAAGAGAGGAAGCCATTGTTAATATTATTCAATAATGAACCTATGGAATGCATCCTGAATGCCGCAAAAAATCCTGGAACCATCGGCGACGAACAACATTATTTGTTTAAAAAGAAATTAATTCAAGTAAGTCTTTAGAAAATGTTTTATTGATTTATGTTAAAAAATCAGTAGAAAATAAAAGTTATAAATATAATCTAAGTTAATAACAATAATAATAACAACAAATAATAGTCCTGTGTATCTTGAAGAGTTGTGAATAAGATATTTTATCAAACACGCGAAACTATGCCAATTTATTATCACGGACAAATGACCTACTTTTTTTGTTTTGGGTCACGTTATTCTTGAGTATCAAAATATCTTGATGTATTTTTTATAGATAACATAATATTACGGAAATGTTTTAAAAATAGATAAAATGGACTTGGAATATATTTTTTCGAATTCACCTTGATTTCTTTATTACACATTTGCTACACAGAAGAAGTTTCTACAAACGATATATAAAATATGTAATTAAAAAATATCTTTTTACAACAATAAATTGTTTTCGATGAGAGTTCCAAAAGTATTCGTAACTTCGCAATGCTTTATTATTTGTTATTGAGCCTTTTAGAGCCAAGCTCCCTGCATTCTTTAACAGTCGCAGGTGGAAAAGAAGATACAATCCAAACTTGCTTTCGTCAATGCTACTTTCAATATCAAATATGTCCTAAATCCAATACCAAAGATGCAATACGCACTTGTCATATTACCGCGTCTATATGTCCGAGGAGGTGCCTTTCAAGAGACGCTCAAATTTTTAAAAAGGCTAGATGCTCCAGCTTTACAGGCGATCTCGATAGTCATATTGTTTCGTTAAAACCAAGTGTAAGAGTCATACGAAGCCTTTGTCAACTTTGTCAAAACAACAAAAATCATATGCTATAAGATCCTTTCATCCTTGACGAATTGTCAAGGATGAAAGGATAAAACAGTTTGGTTCAGTAACATATCAATGGATACTGGACTTGATCAACAATTGCGTACACTTCACGATGATCCCGAAACTGTGGAAGAAATCTCAAGTCATCGCTCTACTCAAACCTGGAAAAAATCATGGAGCGTATGGTCCTAAATCGGATACAAGCAAACGGACGAAATTCTGATCCGGGAGCAAGCTGGTTGCCGATCCTTTTGTGGCCAGATCCCCAATATGACTTTAATATATTGAAGATAGTTTTGAAAGAAAGCAGATAAGGGGCGTGGCGTTCGTAGACCTTTCCGCAGCGTATGACACCATAAACCATACAAGACTGGTCTCCAAAAGTGTACAGTATGTCAGAAGGCATCAAATTAACCAACTCTATACGATGTACAGAGAACCAACCTGTAAATTCTGGAAGAGCTTAATATAAGAGACTGGCAATTAGAAAAAAAACCGAGCATACCTAAATTACTTCGGCGATATAGCCAGAAGAACGGGAACTATCGAACTATTGGTAGTAGAAGGCCGAGAGAAAGATCTTTAACACGATGGGCTGACCAAATGAAGACTCTACATGAAGCCGTCCATTTGATACAGGATCGCAGACAATGGATACAACAAGCTAATGATATTTAGGGTGTCACCACGTCGTGACAAGGGCTCAAAGAATGAGGAGGATACGATCTATACCGCAGAATCGTCAGTTTTATGTAACAATTCAAAGTCATAAACAGCCGCTATTGAACACAGAAGAAATGATTTACCTAGGGTAGTGTGTTAGCTCCACTGCTATTTATCTACACAAACGAACAAAAAACATGAAACTAAATAATTCATATATGCGGATGACACAGTCAGTCTGCACAACGAAAATAATTTGTGGGGGGAGACCAAACTTTCATTTCAAGATCTCTAGACAAACTAAAAATTTCGGTGAAAGAAACCACCTGAAACCAAACCCGATCAAAAACACAGGTATACTTCATTCGCTTAGCTCGGGCATATTTTAACAGATTCATTGCCGGAAACCTACAATACAACAATTGCTACTTCTCAGTATTAATAGCTCAAGTATACTACTATTGCAGACTTCTTTCTTTGAAAAAAAGAAGAATTATTCTAAATAGTGGAAGTGTACTAAATCCTTCAATTTTTGGGTAGTATATATTTAAAAAATATATTTTAGTTGTTATAATTTACCAAACTATTTATTATATGGTGCAGATAAATAAATATTAATTGTCGGTAATTCACAAAGTTCTATTTTATTTACTATTTAATTTGTTTACTATTAATATTGACTATGAGTACTTGTGCTTGGTTGTATAGTAATTTCCAGCCACTTTTAGTCTGTCAAAAAGTAGCTAACTTCACAAAAAAATAATTACTAAATTCACTACACAGTTCGGACTGGGAATAGCGAACCAAGTATATGTGCCTTTCTATTAGTAATAAAGAAGTTGAATAAAGCTTAAAGTTGTGTGGTCAGGTCAGGAATTGGAGGGTGAATATGTCAACAAGCACAATGCTCGCTACTGGTGTCCTGAAAATCCAAACCAACTACACCAGAAACAGTTGTATTCAAGCAAGGTGACTGACGGGTTGATATGTCATATCTGCACCAGGGATCACTGGACTTAAGTTTTTTGAAATGCTAGGCGTCGCAACCTAACTGTATTTTTTGTGCACGAATGTGGCGCCGCTATGTGGCGAAATTGGCTACGTCCAGAATAATTTTTCAGGGTATACAAATATTTTCAAACTAATATTTCAAACATTTTTCGGAGGATCATACGCTCGAATATTCCCAAAAGTCATTCATCCTTCTGCGTTATAATGCATGTTTACGCCCCAAATGTGGGAACCGGCCTCAGCAGTGTTGTAAATTGTAATCTCACATTAATCTTAATTTCCTGAATTTTTATAGTTTCGCAGTGACTAATTGTGAAACATATCGATTAGTAGCTTAATTACAGTTTGTTCAACTTCCTGCAAACTATAGATTGACTAATATTTATTGAAGAAATGTCTGCAACGATTTCCTCGGCACAAATTATATTCGCCAGCATTTATAAGTCAAAGGTTTTTGTTAAATGCAGATGGCAATACACTTATTTGATGAGTCGTAGCGTTTTAGTGAGATTATAAATATAGCTTCGGAACTAGTTTGGAACGCAGTCTATTATAAATTTTTACCTCGATAACAACCATACTGTAATAATTCAGTACATGTCATAATTTTACTTCACGACTTCAACATTTTATTTTATCATCATCTATCGAGAAGAATCTGACACAGGGAATAAGACACAATTCGAACTTATAATTACATTCGAATTTGTCCAAGTGTTTTGTATATAATAATTTTAAAAAAATTTTGTTAAAATCCTTTATAAAAGGTATATAAAAATTTTATAAAGGATTTTAACAAAATTTTTTTGTGATATATGATATACAGCCAGCTACAGGAACTTAGTTTTTTCGTGGAATTTTATAATAATTTTACTTCTTCTTTTCATGTCTCTTGAGTGTAATTGTTTTGGAGTCCATAATATATTTATATCAAGTACTATAAATGTTAGTATTTAGATATAGGATTTGTGTGTTAAGGGTTTGTTATTGTCCATGGTGTCACGTAAACATAGTAATGTTCGAAACCTATTACACACGTCTACAAGGGCACTACTGCTTTGTCTATTTAAAAGGTTTGACAATATTAGAAAAATTCCTTTGACACGTTTAATGAAAACCTTCTTCAGCCTAACTAATATTTTTTAGGTTATGGGAGGCTTAACAACTCAAGTGTGTACCTTATGGGGTAAAGACGGCCTCGCTCGTCCATCTAACTTCTCGATGTTCCTCGAGGCTGTTCTCGCCTATAGCAGTCATCCCAGTCTCAACATCGCTCATGCTGCTAACCCTCTGTGGAACAGTATGTTAAAAAATGAACAAGTGGCCAGGGATCCCATCTTCTTGTCCTACATACCGCAGTGGGTACAGTGCACGGCGCCAAAGATAATCAAGTTCAATTATCCTGTCGGCAAGAGTCCAACGAGGAGGGATCTTGGGGAGAATGCATTATACGCTAGGCTAGATTTTGATAGCGATGAGGAATTTTCTGCTTATTTCTACAGGTGTCGATCAGACTTTTTGGATTCTTTCAGGTAAAGCAATATAATAAATTTGCAATTATCATTGTTGTGAATGTACAAGTACACTATATCATGATTTATTAAATGTTTCAGGCAAGCGACTGTAGTAGCACCTTTAGTAACCTTTAATTATGTCGAACAATGGTTAATGAAGTGCCTGCAAGTTCCAAATGTCACTGCCGGCTTATCGTTTTTGGATCCGGTTTATCAAGAGTGGGAAGCCTTATCCAACTTTCTGGAGAGTATCTTGAGTAGGGTCTTGCAAGCAAACGGCCGTCCACCCATTGCTTCGGGCCTGAGATTACTCCAGTTATGTTTATCTTACCAGCCAGCGGATGCGCTGATCCTATCAACGCTGCTAACTTGCATTTCGGCATTGTTTGTATTTTTAAGTATGTCAACTGGACAAATGGCACCAACAGGTGAGTGCTTTCCTACTATATGAGTATTCATATTTTTAATAATGATATTGTTATATTAGTTGCAAAAACCTCCATTAAATATGTTTTCACGTGATGCCAATGTGAACTAGCTATCATAATTTAGGTTTAAATGTGTTTTTCCTAGTTTTGTCAGAACCGGGACTAAAAGTTTCAGTGTGATAAATGTGTAATTCATATTGTTCTGAAGCTATTATCTTGTGGCATTTTAAAGTGGATACTTTTTAAATGGGAATAAAGCACAATTAAAAGTTAAAATAAGTTCATTGACGTTTCAATTTCCACTTCGGAAATCGTTCTCAAAATACAAACATTAATGTTTGTCTATTAGTTAAACTTTAATTTCCTAAATGTCTATTTTAGTTTATTTAGCAGGATTTCCAGCTGCTTCAGAACTTTTAAAAATATTTAAAATAGACCACATGCCATCAAATCAAGTTTTACTTTGAATGACCTTGGTTATAAATTTTATTGTATTAAATTTTATTGTATTACTGATAAATAACTCTTATATATGTTACAAAATTAACTAAAAGATCTTAAATGTGTTTTGGACAATATTATTTTTTTTATTTGTGTTTTGTAAAGAAAGCAAATATTGTAAATAGCAAATTAGTGACTAACTATCCAAAAGGAGGAAGTCAGAACTAATTACAATTTTTTTCGATGGCTCTGTATTTTGGTATGATGGCATTTTAATAGATATCAATATTTATGAACAATTATTTTCAGCAAATTCTGTGGCAGCTTCAGGTGCCGCACTGCTACCCCAAGTTCTCGAAAAAATATTCTCAACTCTAGTCTACACTCCCGAAGGCCAGTCAATCAACAACCGATCCAGAGCCGTGAAAAATGTCAGGCGTCATGCGGCTTCTTTAATGGTGAAAATAGGTAACAAATATCCGTTGCTGTTACTACCGGTCTTCGATCAAATTAGAGCGACGGTCGAGGCTCTGTCTAGGCCCGACGGACCTGCGCAGTTAAGTTGTTTGGAGAAAGTTACGTTGCAAGAGGCTCTGTTGTTGATTTCCAATCATTTTGGGGATTACGACAGGCAGAGTACGTTTGTAGGGGAAGTGCTGAGGGAAGCCAATGCTCAATTTTTAGAAATAGTCAATTTAGGTGAGTAACAAACGTTTTAATAAGTTTTGTGTTTCTTTTTTCTATTTCGCACAATTCGTGTTTTAAAATAATATTGTTTATTTTATTCAAGAAAAACAAATATTTTAGGTGCATTTAGAAACGCAGCAAACTTCATCACTTTCGTCGGACTGGACAAACCTCCGGTTCCTTCCAACAATGAAGACGCTTGCGGCCAAAACAGGGGCAACATTATCTTCTGCGTCAACCTCCTTCTAGGCGCAGTCAAACGTTGTGCTTGGCCAGACGATCCGGAACGAGCGACCCGTGGAGGTTTTGTAGTTTCTCTTACGGAATCTGGCAATCCTGTGTGCCGAAACCCAGCAGCTCCGCACGTTGTACCACTACTGCCTCATATTCTTTCTTTAATCAAGATATTTAACGAACTGTTCACCCCTGAGACTCAAAGTTTAATTCATGACAGTTATAAAGGTAAGTGGCATTATTGTTTTTATAAGTGTAAAAGTATTCGTTGTACATGCGAATGGGCATGATTGATCCGTATCAAAGATCCAAATCTTCACAAACTTTATCAGATCCGGGTTGTTTAAGACCCGGTTCGAATGTGATCCGTGGGTCGCATTTGTCACTTTTCTTAGAAGAATAGTTTTAAAGTAGCTATTTTTGTGTGCCAACAATTTGTACACCCAAAAATTTTATATTTATTATTTTTTACGTTTACTGTTCTTTTATTATTTTATTACGTCTTATATTACTTTTTTACCTAATTATCTAACTGTTTGTCATATTTGTTATGTAATTAAATATATATTTATTAAGTTGAGATCCTTGCTATGCTGCAGTGATCTCAGTTTGGAAACCAAGATGCGGATAGTGAGGTTCTAAATTCTTCCAGTGTTACTATATGGAGTTGAAGCCTGAACACTGACGCAAGTCACAGAAAAGCGGATTGAAGCCTTCGAGATGTGGATCTACAGGAGAATACTAAAAATATCGTAAGTGGACCATATCACGAACGTTGAGGTGCTACAGCGCATGACAAAAGAAAAAGTGCTTAATTTAGTGAAACAACGCAAGATTGAGTACCTCGGGACGTGATGCGAAAAGAAGAAAAATATCGAATTCTTCAACTCGTGATCCAGGGTAAAGTATTTGACAGGAGAGCACCGGGACGCCGTCGCATCTCGTGGTTAAAAAACCTCCGACAATGGTTTGGGATGACCTCCGCGGAGCTGTTTCGCAGATCAGTTAAAACCATGATAGCCTTGATGATCACCAACATCCGGACCTGATAAAGCACTGAAGAAGAAGAAATGTCTTTTAACTCTTTGATAGAGATTTTATAGATTTTCTAGACACTTGTTGCACAGAAATAAAAATCGTAAAAAGGCTCAACAAGATTCTCATTAAAATACTTAAAAAATATTTCCAAAATGTCGTTTTCGGGTGTTCTACATATGGGGTCATTGTGCAAACAGCAGTTCTTACGAAAACAATCTTTAATTTTCCCAAGACCTAATCCTACATCACAAATAATACATGCTCATTCAGATGTCTCGAGTGATAACTTGGCCGTGATAACTTGGCCGTGATAACTTGTCCTTGATAACTTGTCCGTGATAACTTGCCCATGATAACTTGTCCGTGATAACTTGGTCGTGAGGAACTGGAGAGAGAGAGAGAGAGAGAGAGAGAGAGAAAAAAAGTTATTGTTTTTATTAGTGTACAAGTGCCCGTTGTAGATTAATTAATTATGTTTTTAATACAACAGTATCATGAGTTAATATCGCTAAGTCAGTCATCTATTTTGTGTAGGGACTATGTCTTTTGAGTTGTAGATTGTCAAAATTGGATTACTTTATTGATCTTGACTAGTAACATAGTAAGCCAAAGCTTCCTTGGAACTTTATTAAATTCCAACTAGTCTAACATTATTTTATACATATTTTAGGATGTTTAGCAATGCAAGAGACTGAAAGAATGAACCTCCTAGGATTGATGGGCCACACTATAGGAACTGAAGCAGCGGAATCACAAGTGGTGCAAAGCCCATTAGAGAGGATGCAGCGGTTCCTTACAGCATTACACGAAAGCTGCTATCATATGATGGGTTCTTTAGGGCCCTCTTTGGGAAGAGATTTGTACAATATACCGGATCTTGGCCTGGCGATTGTCAACAGTGTTTTGTCATTTATACAAGTAAGTAATAAAGATTATTTGACTGGTCTTGCTATATACGTAGCGAAACAGTGTAGCTTATGAGCGGTTTGGGCAGTGGATATTAGCGAAAGAATATACTTTAGTTTTTTAGTAACCCCTAGCTCATGAGCTCGATTGACTACCTGTTAAGAACGTTTTAAGTTCACATCGCTTTAGTGCTCTTCTGGCTCCATATTTTTTTTCTATGCCGTTATTTCCTGTTCTCTTCTATTTGATATGTTATACACCTTCCTACAATCATTGTTCTTGATATTTATTCTAAGTTTTGTTGACGCTATCTTTTGATATGCTATACGCATTTCTCTGATCATTAATATAAAAGAAGCTAAAACCTGTTGGGTATATTTTGCTTTAATGTTATATTATAGAATCTCAATTGCTTTATTCGCCATTTTATAATATTCGCTATCTATGATTCTTCTCTTCTCAGTTAATAAAGGTAATATTTTTTAAATTACAATATGGAAATCATAATCTTGCTTGCTGATTTTTACGTCTTTGGTCTCTACGGACGGGGTTCGGCTCTGTTACCTACCCAACTGACTGTTGTTTTGACTTTTGCTGAAGTAGTGGAAACTTGTTTAATCGATTGTCACCTACAGTCCAAACTTCAATTTATCGTACTGAAATGATTGCAAAATACGAGCTGAATCGTGGATGTGTTGCTATTCTTGATAAATTGTGAGAACATAAGGCACTCACTTAATCTTTAAATTCTATAATAATTTAGGAATTGGTAAATAAATGTTCATATAAAATGACGAGTAGGTACATTTACCTTTATTAACTATTACCAACCCATCTACTACCCTACACAACAACAACAACTTACGAACACTACAGATAACCTTGTCCTTTTGGTTCTATGTTTTATTTAATTAAATATGAATAAAGTATATAGATGCAAAATAAAATTTGACAAAGAAAAAAGAAGAAGACTTGACAGACGTAGCCATTTTGTGGGCGTGTCGTGTGACGTCAGGATCCAGTGGGCATATTCGTCGATCCCACTGCGTACAAAATGGGCAAGTAAATACGGTCCTGGGATTGGTGATCAATATATCAAGGGGATATTATGATTTGGCACCTAATACAATTTGGTTATGCCATGTAACGAGTCCGTCACTTCAATAATTCTTTAATCACTTAAATTTTATATAATCAAATATTTTTTTAAATCCATATCCCCTTAATAATTTTCTTAAATTTTAAATTCTAAGTTGGTATTAAACAGCGACTCCCAGCGGCCATTTTGGCAAACATGCTTAGCTGACTACAAATGAATGGTCACCGCGCACTTCTGTTCTCACTGCGGGTAAAGACACTTGTGCTTAAAAAAAGTAGGTGGCCAGGGATGGCTAAGAAGTTTTTTTGGGGAAGAAGAAGTTGCAGATAGTTTTGGTTTGTTTTTTTTTAGTGTCCTGTTTGGTTTGTAACCTCTCTGAGCCGGTAAGTGTATCTAATTATCATTAAAAAAAATATAAAAAGCATCAGTCATTTTGATTTCTAAACATTGTCATTTTTTTCTCACACATTTTAATATTTTTAATTTTACTTCCCGGCCTCAAAAACATATAATTATCTATCTTTAAAACTATTTATTATCTATTAAGAGTATCTATAAAAATATTCTGTCTCATTACGTTCTTTTATATCCTAAAATATATCCATAAATGCCTTTCGTTAAAATGATCTATTTAATGAATCGATTTTACATAAAATATTTCAAATCATACGAAGGTCAAATTATTTACAAAAACCATTAGGGTTTTTTTGCTTTCATACTTTATACTTCATCATATAAGTAACTCTTATAATACCTTTGAAGGTCTGAAGGTTCATAAACCTTGTGTTTTTTCCCTACTTTTTATCAAGAGTAAGAAGGAACTCTAACACAAATGTTCTTTTTAGCCTACTATAGGAGTCAAGCAGAAGTCAAGGGGAAGAAATCTTAATTTTGTTGGGGGAGGCATATTATCATATTTAAGGTTGCTGGAAAATGCACCCTCTCACCCCCTGTATCAACCCTCTATTTTTTTAAATTACTTCCCCCTTTTTTTATTTTATATTTGGATTCTCCTTTTGTACTGATTTCAGAAATATATATAATGTATAATACATGATACTTGAAGTGATTAGTTTATGAGAAAAGTAAATACAAAAGCAAGAAAATTGGATTGAAAAAAAAATTATTTTTTAACAATTTTATTACACACATTTAGAACAAACATTTCACTACTAAAAATGACTGCCTTTCACTTCCATACAATAGTACAATCTATTTTGAAATTCTTCTCTGACATTGCTTAACACGTCTGCATTTAATTGTCGACATTCATCCTCTATTCTTTGTTGTAAATCATCTAGATATTCTGGTTGAGTAGCATAATTTTTGTTTTTAAATACTCCCATAAGAAGAAGTCTAGGGGTATTCAATCCGGTGACCTAGGTGGCCAATCGATCATCTGTCGTCTTTTACCTATCCAAGGACTGGGAAACGTTTCGTTTAAAAATTATCGCACAGGTAAAGCAAAGTGTGGAGAAGCTCCATCACGTTGAAATACAACCAAATCATCGGAAAGGTTATCATCATTTTCTACTATTGTTCTAACGATCAACCACTTGCCTATATAATTCAAGATACAATGCACCATTTAAGTTTCCAGTGATAAAGAAGGGTCCGATAATGTGATTACGTAGGATACCACACCATACGTTTAACCTTTGAGGATGCTGTGTGTGAAATTCGCGTACAATATGTGGATCACTCTCAGCCCAGTATCGGCAATTATATCTGTTAACCAAACCGTTTAATGAGAATGAGCATTCATCCGAGAAGCAAATATTGTTTAACAATTGTGGATTGTTAATGATGCATTGTATCATTAATTCGCAACATTCGGGACGACGATCAAAATCTTCTTCATTTAACTCTTGTACTAATTTAATTTTATATGGATAAAACTTAAATTTATGGAGGACTCGGAAGGCTGTAGAAAATGAAACACCGATTGCTCTGCTTATTGTTGACAGTGACTGTGATTTAAGTTAACTTCCCCTAAAACAGCTACTTGGATTGCTTTTTGAAGTTCCTGTCGGTTATATTTTTTATTGTCAACTGACCCCCTTGCTCTAATTTTTTCTGCATCAGTTCAATCATACACTTATGAGTTGCATGTCTATTGTGGTGTGTTTCATTAAAAATTCTAGCAGCAACTCTTGCACAATTATTATTTTTGTAGTATAAACCTACAATTTCGATTCTTTCTTGCAAAGTGTACACCATTTCAGCGATCAAATTGCACACGTATCAAAATAAGCTGTTACTTACAAGTTATAACAAATTGTCGCTATTAACCGATTAAAACAAATGTAAAAATGATATCGAAAACCTTTGATAAAACTTGAATAAAAAGTGAATTTTTTGTTTCTTGGTTTTTGAAGGTACTACAAATAGTACGGTTAAATATTTAAAGAGTTTAAATTATGCTACAACCTATTTTGTTAGAGTCAATTAAGGTGAGGGAGATATTAGTCTCCCCTTCAGATATTAATTGACGTTTTTGCGTTTTTCCAAAAAATTAGAGGTTCAAAAGTTATTTAAGGTTAATAGTTTTATCTGAAAAGCACTATATATATATATATATATATATATATATATATATATATATATATATATATATATATATATTATATATTTATATATATATATATATATATATATATATATATTTATTTATTTATTTATTTATTTAAATAATATTTAAGAACTAAGTGTCAACTACAGGTTGAGATTTTAAATCCTGTCTTTCAACTCTGTTGTACGGTTTTATGTGTACACATTTAATCAGAGAGTTCTTTATTGAAATTTTAGTATTATTATATATTTAAACCTTGGACATCTATCCCGTAAGGATAGTGTTCTTATTACTTTATTAGGACATTTAATTGAAAGCCGAAGTACAGAGTTACATCTCTACTAGGCAAGTAAATTACCTTTTTAGGTCGAATCATTAAAATTTTTTCTTATATTTTTGTAAACTCACTTGTGTATAAATCATCAATTGTGTATAACCAGGAAATTTTTTTTAGTATATAAGTAACTAGGTTAACTGTACATAAAAGTGGTGGGTAGCATATATATATATATATATATATATATATATATATATATATATATATATATATATATATATATATATATATATATATATATATTTGGATAGCTTTATAAATTTCGATTAGGTATTAAATTTGTTCTGAAGACACTAAACATTTCAATCAATACCTGTTTTCCTTTTTATTTCAGCAAACAGCTTTACAAGATACCTTGCAAAGTATTTACTTTACAGTTAATACTTTACTGGCGCCCAATCACATCTTCGAGCAACTTCTATAGGTTATTACTTTCATCTATTTTATTCGTATATATTTTTTATTAGTTTGTCATTCATTTTCTCATTTTACAGTCTCTGTAGGGCATGAAAATTGGCCGAATCCTCTTTTGAGTGTCAAGTAGTCACTCTCCGACATATTCTGCTAGGCAGCTTTAAGGCTTATCCTCGAAACTCCTAACGGTAAAATTCAGTGCGATATCTATGTCAAAAATATCTTTCTTTACGAAAACAAAATCCATTCACGAAGAATATTCTAAACGTCATCTTGCTCTAGAATTTACTTTTTTACCTAGATACAACCCCCTTTGGTGAAAAGTCTTGGGTCTATACAATAAAGCGATCGGGCGGTCTTGTATTCAGTGCGGTTATGGGGTAATTAGAGTAATACGAGTATACCAGAGTAATATTATTTATTTAATAATTAATTCACAACTTAGCAAGGGTACATACAAACAAGATTTTAAAGACAAACTTTTATAAAATTTTATTACAAAATAATGTATAACAAGATATTTTGAGGTCACAGTATTCGTTTTTTATGTTTTATATTTTCTTTTGTTTTTTTTTTTGTTACTTTTTTTACTAACAAATTGGCTTTTAACGTAGATTACAGTTTGATGATAAATATTCTGAAATGAAAAATGTTGAGATGTGGCGAATAAAAACATTCATAAAATTAAAATGAAAGGATTTACGTCTATTAGTAGTGCGATTTATAAAATTAGTACTTGAAGCAAAAATCGCGGGAGGAATATGTGCATCAGTTTTCAAATATTTATTATATACTATATAATTTCTAAATTGAACCACTTTTACTTCTTTAGGTTAGGTCAGGTTACGTTAGGTATCTGTTTTGTAAAATGTATCTGTTTTGACAACTAAATAGGTAATTAGACAAAATAATGAGTATTATTAATTTCAAAACAGGAGTTTAAAGAATTAGAAGGTGGTAGTCCGGGCCCAGTTGGACGGTCAAGCTTATTCCAGTGGAAGTAATAAGGAGGATTATTTTTCGTTTTGGCTCAGCTGGCATGCTCTCTCTAGCACTACAACCTATGAAAATGTAGTAAAAAGCATGCTTCTATTTACACGGTTGTGAAACGAGACGATTAACAGAGACATCGAAGAAAGATATATCGCCGAACTGGATGCAATAAAAGATGAGCATAGAAAGTACAGTCATGGATGGCATTCAACGAAAGTAGCTCAAATGGTACGGACATGTCCAATGAATGAAAGACAGTAGACTCCCGAAACAAGTACCTGTATGAACACCTACAGCAATCCAGAAGAGAGGGCTACCTTAGAAAACACGGATGGAAGGAATAAAAAACTCGAATGAACTCGAAAGAACTTAAAGAACAATGGAACAACCGAATTGAATGAAAAATGGACGTCGGAAGACCTTTTACAGGGATTATATCATATTATAGGTACATTATTATTATATCATATTATATACGTTTATATAATATATTATATACACGATATTGAAGGAGATGACAATCAACAAAATCTACATCGTCAACTACACAGTGAAGACCCAACAATAATAGAAGTGTCAAATGAAGTCCTAAAACTCAAAGACAATAAAGCTACAGGAATCGATTAAATCTGTTGGGAAATGTATAAAAAAGGTGGTGATCGACCTTTTGCATTAATCCATAAACTAATAGTACTTATATGGAAGAATGAATTGGTACCAGAAGAGTGGCTAAATTAAATAATATGCGTTGCATAAAAAAGGTGATCAACTGGATTGAAAGTACTATAGAGGCATTACTCTGTTAGCAGCTGCAACATCTTCGGCAATGTATTGTTTGAAAGACTTAAACATTTTACAAAGGATATTGTTGGTCAATATCAATGCGGATTTACTGCTGCAAAATCAACTATACATCAAATTCAAGCACATGGGCAGATTCTAGAAAAGTCACTAGAATATAACATAGATACACACTATCTCTTCGTCGACTTCAAAGCAGCCTATGACAGTGTTAAAAGAACTGCATTATATAATGCAATGATAGACTTTGGTTGGGATCCCACCGAAGTTAGTTAAGTTGACCCAACTAACAATGCAAAACGTAAGCTCGTGCTTTAGAATTGAAGGAGAAAACTCTACGTGCTTTGACGTTAATGATGGTCTAAGAAAGGGGGAGGCGTTGGCGTGTCTCCTCTTTAGTGTTGCCTTGGACAAGGCAACCAGAAAATTAAATATTAGAATGAATGTAACTATTTTTAATAGAACCATGAGAGACAGGTGTAGTGTTTTATAAGGCTTTCGGATGCGGCAATTAAATTAGGACTTGTGTTAAACGAGAAAAAAAATATATGTTGGTTTTCCATCAGAGAATTCAAATTAACAACCATACCTTTGAGCAAGTCAAAGAATTCACATATCTTGGAACGCTAGTAAACGCAACAAACACGACAAGCGACGAAATAAAAAGACGCATAGCAATATCAAACAGAACTGTTCACGGTCTCCAGAAACATTTAAAAAATAAAAATATAAAACGTGCAGTAAAGCTCGATATATACAAGAACTTAATAAGACCAGTTTTAATATATGGGGCTAAAACGCGGATCTTATCTCAAAATGATGAAAGACTTCTTGGTATTTTTGAGAGAAAAATTTTTAAAAAAATTTTTGGGACCGTAAATGAAAATGGGGTTGGCATCGAAGATACAACTTTGAACTATATAAGGTATACACCGATTCAGATATTGTGAAATTCGTTAAAATGCAGAGACTTAGATGGGCTGGACACATTGATAGGATGTCAGATCACGAATACATGAAGAGATTAACATTTTCAAAACCAGAGGACACAAGAAGTAAAAAACGATCACGAAGAAGGTGGATTGATAATGTTTAAGAAGACCTATGGATTCTAAGGGTCAGAAGATAGAGGGAAGTTGCCAGGAATCAACAGGAGTGGCGACTTCTTTGCGAGCAGGCCAAGACGAATTGTCGAGCCATTTATAATGATGAAAATAACCTCTAGTACTCCATTACTAGAGGTTTGCGATTACTGAATCAAAATCTTGTCTATTCTGCGCCGCTCTTAACATTTGTTGGACGTTCATGCCTGTCCAAGTTCTGATGTAGCGTAGCCATGACATTGTTCTTCTGCCTACTCCTTTTCGGCCCTGTATCCTTTCTTAAATTAGAATTATCAACAAAACGCTATTGTTCCGATGGCAAACTGGTACCAATTTTCTTACGAAAACATTTAAAAATTAGCATATTAAGATTAAGAACTGCTGTTACAAAAGCAACTGAATATCATGGACAACCAAGATATGATATATCTAATAGCCATCTTCATGTATTTGGAAACTATTCCAATTGCACAGATTATTTTTGTCACAGAAAATCATCAGAAACAGATTATACAATACCAATGAAAGAACGCAGCCTCTTGAAAGATATTAGCTCATGTGCAGGAAGAGTAAAATTTCATGAAAGTCTTATAAATAATATGAGTACCAATTATACCAAAAATAGATTTTTGGAAGAAAATTATTTTTTCACGAATTGTTTAAACAAACTAGACTATTTATCAATTAATTAATATATAAACAAATTTCATATTTGTAATGTACGTAGAAATTACATACAAATTAAAAAAAATGATCAAAATCCATTGAGTATATTCGGAGATATAGAAAATTTTATTAGTTTGAAATTGTTCGGTATTTACACTTCATGGATTTGTAGGTTCTTCCTAGTCACCATTTGTACTATATTTTTGAAAATTCGTAGAAGGTCCTGTAAAGGTACAATGTTTGTGCAAATTTTTTAATAAAAAATACAAATCCCATTCTTTAACATGGCGTCAATGAGGTTCCTTAATTATTATAATCAAATTAACTGTGAATTAACAAAAAAAAAACATGGCTAACTTTGGCCCCAATTAACCTAGGCCAAATTTTATTATTGCAACAACATTAAAAGCAACAAATTGACTTTTCAACTTACAAAAATCGGGATTTTTAAGCTTTGCCAATATTCTAAAAAATAAAATTTTGTAATTTTATGTTAAGTATTTAGCTTTCTAATCGAGTCCAAAAATCTAAAAAATCGCGTTATTGCATTAAATTGTTAATCATTAAAAACGCCAGGAAGGCGTCAGGAAACAGGTAGGTTTTCTTCTTATAGGTCTACAATAACTAAAAAAGTTGTCAGCTTCCTGGATTATTGAGTGTCACGAGAAAATCCTTATTACCCTGGACTAATATGACGACAAGCAAGTGACGAAACAAACTTCATATATTATGTAAACTTTACTAACAAAAAGTTTACTCTGAACTTATGTAAAGAAGAAAAGAAAATAATAATTCTGATTGAAATACCTCCCTCGAGAGAGTATATACTTCTTACCTACCCGTCGGCGAGAATCCAGAAACTATCGACAAGGACAGCCTGTACTGACCGAGAAGAGAGAGAGAGAGAGAGAAACATTTAGCAGAACTTTGAAATTTTATACCAAATAGCAGCTTTGTATTACACTTTATGTTAAAAATAAAAACAGATTCAGAAAGTGGGTCAAATTCTGTAGTGCCCTATTAAAAAAAAAAAAAAAAACGTTTATTGTAACCAAAAATATTTGAAAAAAAATTTTGGTTAAACAATTTATTAATTTACAACCAAATAGTGCACTAGAACTTTTTAAGACCTTTCATATAAAAAAGAATCATCTCAATATCTGCCATAGTGTTTGCGTTATTTGATATAAACTTTTACATTGGAATTTAGCTCTGCCCAGAATAGCGAGGAACGGCTTTAATTTGTTTTTTTTTGTCACATTATCGCTATATTGGAATTTGTTACATTAGCCCCCATTGATACTTAAATTTTTGATACAGCCACAGTAAAGCGTTTTTAGATTTTTAATTTGCATTTGTTTAAAATCTTTTAGTTATACAGTTTTTACCTAGAATTCTGTGGTATGTGTTCGATTTTTTCCAAATATAATATTTTTTCACACTAGTTTCTAACCGATCTAACACGACTGAAGGAAGGCTCTGAGAAGAACCGTAACAAAGATTACTATATTTTATGATTGCATAGGAACTTAGATAAATATATTTTTATTAAATTATTGTTCGTCTAATTTTTGTTTTACATTACAGTATATTCCAGATTACCGAATTAGGCCGATAATTAGGGTATATCTGAGGCAGTTTATTTTCTCTTGCCCAGCACCATTTTACGAAGTCGTCGTTCTACCTATCATGACACATCTTTCTCCTATAAGTAAGTATGCTCAGCTCTTTTATATACACTACCGAGCATAAAATTAGGGTCACCCCGTAATTTGAATTTATTTTAGAAATTATTATTCTGTTTTAACTATTTTCGGTTGTAACATAGTTTACTAATGGATTTCTTGAAAAAAAAATTGTTGTCGTTGTTGTCAACTAAAAACCGTTATCAGCACAGTTTTTGTTTCTATGGTTTTATCGTCAATTGTAAATTGTTTGTGTATTGTTATCAATGTCAGTGTATTGCAATGAGCATAAAATCTGTTGTGGCGATAAGAATTGTGGCGGCGTTAGAAGATGGCCACGGTCAGAGCGAAACTACTAGAAACGTTGGTGTAAGTCTCTCAAGTGTGCAACGAGTATGGCAACGGTACGAAGAGACCGGCCTGCTTACTCGAAGACCTGGTTCAGGTCGAGGCAGGATTATAACAGCTAGAGATGACCGCTTTGTCCTTTCTAGTGCTTTGAGAAACCGAACGGTCACTTTTTCTTCGAAATCATCTGCAAGAAGTGAGGAATGTAAACATAAGTGGATGGACAGTTAGGAGACGACTTCATACTGCTGGTTTATCTTCTCGAACTAGAGTAACTGTACCGCCGCTTTCCCGTGAACACCGAATTGCCAGATTGAATTTTGCACGAGAACACTTGGCTTGGACAATGCAGGATTGGAGTCGTGTATTGTTTTCCGATGAATCGAGATTCTGTCTTACGAGCTCAGACAAACGTGTAAGAGTGTGGCGACGTCCAGGCGAGAGATATGCTCAAGCATATGTTGCCGAGCGTCTTCCATTTGGTGGAGAGTCAGTTATGGCATGGGGAGGAATATTGTTTGATGCTTGCACGGAGTTAGTCTTTATCGAGAATGGGACATTGACAGCGCATAGGTACCTGACACAGATGCTGGAAGACCATGTTTTACCGTTTATGGTTATTCTTGGAGACGAAGCAACATTTATGCATGATAATGCACGGCCCCACATTGCTAGGATAGTTACTGAGTATCTTGACGAGGTTCAAATCACACGATTTGTTTGGCCTGCTCGCAGTCCAGATATCAATCTCATAGAACATGATAAACTGCGTTAGGCTTTCACGGCCATCGTCTAACTTGTTAAACCGTTTTTTCGAGCTGTTAGGCCGTCGTCTTCTGAGATTAGTTCTCGACGTTTCGTCAACACTAGGGGTTGGCATCTTCTGGAGACGTTACCTGTTGTTGAAGACAACTGCCTAACAGCCCGAAAAAACAGTTTAACCCACAGAACATGTTTGGGATGAGATGAAGAGACGTTTACGGAGTCAGGTGCCGGCCCCCAGAAATTCGGGAGAGCTTCGCGACATATTGGTGCAAGAATGGAATAATCTTCCGCAGAATGTGATCCAAAATCTGATCCAAAGCATGCCTCGTCGTTTGCAATCTGTTATCACTGCAAGAGGAGGGAATACTCACTACTGAAGTTCTTAAAATTTCTTTTTTTCAACAAAAAGCACATCAAATTAAAATTGTCCCTTTTCAATATTTAGTATATAAAGGAAAATTCTTCATTTCCATTATTTTTAATAAACTTTAAACGACAAAAACGTTGTTTTCTTTAAGCAATCCGTTAGTAAACCATGTTACAACCGAAAATAGTTAAAACAGAATAATAATTTCTAAAACAAATTCAAATTACGGGGTGACCCTAATTTTTTTTATGCTCGGTAGTGTATATAACATATAATTTATTTACAAATTAATAGCATATTAAAATGAATATTAAACATTTTGACTATGGTAATTCATTTTTGGTTAACTAAATTAAGGTACTTGTGCATTGTTTTTATGATATTTTATTGACGTAATTATTCGAAAAGGCGGATACGGTGGAACGGATACCATTTTGTAAAATTAATTCAAATTTGATCATATGACAAGTAATACCACCTTAAAGGCTCTTAAGTCACTCACTATGTTCCTAGATATTTGTGTCGTACCGTAATAAAATGGCGACTGTGTAAATTAAAAGTATAGACTACTCCTAATAATATGGAAATCTTCAGCTTGTATAAAAATCGCAAGAACACATAAATTTATTTTGTAAGTTTCTCACATACTGATAGAATTTTTTTTCAAAAATTTCATTAAATGTTTCTTAAACGACATTACATGGTTGAATGCTCTTATGTCATTTGTGCGATTCTGTCACGCCATTTCAGAATGAAGTCCATTGAATGGTGAAATAATCTTAAATCGACTCTCGCCACAGAAACATTATTGTCTGTTTTTAAGATCGTACTGAGGTACAGCTTGCCGTATGATACTATTTAAAATCATTTGAGAAAATGGCGCCCGTTCTTCATTTTAAGTGATTGCGTCGCTGACTTATTATAAGAACAATGTAGAGGTGTGTCTTAATTCAATTACTAAACGGATAGCGGACTTCACACGTGTACTGTATAAACTTAACACGATTAAAGTAAAACACATGATGAAGAACATATCTCGTCAAGTAAAGCCACTTAAATATCCTATTCATTCTCTTGAAATACCAAATATATTGTTTGATGGCTGATATATTAATTTTTATTTTCAGTTTTGTCGAGGTTACATACAAAATGGCAGCAAGTTATCGAATTTCGCAACCGCGAAGCCCAAGAGGACAACCAAGACACACAGGAAGTATTAGAAGACATCCTTACCCGCGCCATAACTAGAGAATACTTAGATCTTTTGAAAGTTGCACTGGTAGGCGGAAGTGTCACTCCAGAGTCTAATTCGGAAACGATGGAAACCGAGGAGCACAGTATGGATTCCCCTACACCACCTCATACTCGAACTAATATGACAAATGAAGTTATTTCTGATTTAGGGTTAATGTTGCTGCGCAGCGAGAAAACGTGCCATTCGATTGTGCTGGCTGTTCTCGGTGCTTTGGCGTGGATAGACAGTCAGGCTTCATTCAAGGCTACTCTGCTTACAGGTAATTATTAGTATTTTCCTCCCAAAAACGTGAAAAATATTCGAAAAAATACGTGATGAAAAATTGCAACGTCAAACGGTAAAAATTTAGCAAACGTTGCGCAATTCTTCTATTTTTTAAGGTTCTTATGAGATCTTTAACGTTTATTACTTTTCCATTAACCGGCTACTATGATATTTCCTTTGTTAAAGACCAATCTTCAAAACCTATGGCATCAAATGTCGGTTTTGATTTTTAGCTACAAATGTATTTGTAATGGGCATTTCTTCTTCTTCTTCAAGTTCCACTCCTATCGGAGATTGGAAATCATTCTGGCAATTATAATTTTATTGGTTACTCGCCTGAATAGTTCAATTGAACTGCATCCAAACCACTCACGGAGATTGCGTAGCCACGAGATTTTACGTCTTCCTACGCTTCTTCTACCTTTGATTTTACCCTGCATTATATTCCTTAGTAGTTCGTACTTTTCACCTCTCATGATGTGCCCCAAGTATTCCAATTTCCTGATCTTTATGGAATTTAAAACTTCGCATTGTTTTCCTAGTTGTTCGAGAACTTGTTCGTTTGTTTTGCGATCCATCCACGATATTTTCAAAATGCGTCGGTAACACCACATTTCGAATGCTTCTAGGTTTTTAATGTTGGATTTTTTAAGTGTCCAAGCTTCAACTCCATACAAAAGGGTAGAGAAAATATAACATCGAAGCATTATTATCCGGAGCGATATATTGATATCGCGATTACAAAAAAGTTTTCTCATTCTATTAAAAGTTGACCGCGCAATTTCAATGCGGCATCTTATTTCTTTTGTCTGATCAGTATCTTCTGTGATCCATGCTCCAAGGTATTTGTACGAAGATATTTGTTCAATTTCTGTATTATCTAGTACTAGCTTAACTTTGATGTTTTGTGCTTTTGTAAATACCATGAACTTGGTTTTCTTCAAATTGATTTTTAGTCCATAATCGTTGCAATATATATTTAGTTGTTCAGCAAGGTGTTGCAGTTCTTCTAGTGTTCCTGCCAAAAGGACGGTGTCGTCAGCATATCTTATGTTATTAAGTGGCTCACCGTTTATTATAAGGCCTCACTGATCTCGGCAAGCGCTAATTCTGAGATGGCTTCACTGTATAAATTGAATAACAAGGGTGATAAAATACACCCTTGGCGGACCCCACGGCGAATCTGGATATCCTTGGTCAGTTCGTTTTCAACTTTCACTTTTGCTGTTTGATTCCAATAGAGGTTACAGATGATTCTAATGTCTCTACTGTCTATGTTTTTATTTAATAAAATTTCTTTAAGTCGATTATGCTGCACTCTGTCAAATGCCTTCTCAAAATCAATGAAACAGGCATATACTTCCTGATTAATATCTAAGCATCTCTGCGAAGGAACACTTACTGCAAACAGTGCATCTCGTGTTCCCAGACCTTTCCTAAATCCCATTTGTGTATTACTTATGCCTTCATCTAATTTCTTATGTATTCTATTGTGAATTACTTTTAAAAACAATTTGAAGACATGTCTCATTAAGGCTATGGTGCGATGTTCATTGCACTCCTTTGCATTGGCTTTTTTGGGAAGCAGTATGAATGTTGATTGGAGCCATTCTTTAGGTATTATACCTGTTCTATGTATGGTATTGAATAGATCCAAAAGAAGATCAATAGATTCAGTATTCACAATTTTAAGTAATTCGATAGGAACTTCATCAGGCCCGGGAGATTTACCATCTTTAGCTTGTTTCATTGCATATTCAATTTCTTCTCGTATAATGTCAGGCCCTGTATCATCCTTAAATTCTTTTGGTGCTTCTGTTCTTTCTTTGTCTTCAAATAGTTGTGCTATATATTGTGTCCATGTGTAATGGGCATTTGAAATATGCTTAAAAAATGCTGAATTTAAACTTTCACATTACACACGATCTAAAACATTTAAAACTGCTTGTTTCGATTACACAAGTAACTTTTTCTAAACTACGCTACTTCAGCTATAAATTTCACCCAATGCCGCCTTCTTGAAATATTTTCCGTAACATGCAATCGTTAGTAATGTGAAAGTTTTAAATTCAGCGTTTTTTAGGCATATTTCAAGTGCCTCACATTTGTTGCCAAAAATCAAAACCGAAATTTGATGCCAACGGTTTTGAAGATTGATCTTTCACAATGGAAGTTTCATAGTGGCAACGTGATAAATTTAAATGATCTGATGAGAATCGTAAAAAGATGGCAAACATCGCGCAACGTTTATTTATTTAAAATTTTACATGAATTGACTTTAATTGCGCAAAATCCAAAAATTGCATAATAAGAAAGTTTCATCTTTCATCTTTAAATCGGTTTTTGATTTTTGTTGATACGAGACTCTGATCAAAAGATTTTGAATTTTAACCGTCGAATTGATAACAATTTTATTTAAAATTGATTTCGCGTGCGTAGCCGCGTCGCTTTAAGTGATATTTTTAAGAGAACGATTTATTTTATACAAAAAGTGCTAATAAACCTTTTTGTTCAAAATTGTCTCAGCTACATTTTTTATTTAAAATACTTTTTTCTACAACACACAAATTATTGGTAAATCGATTTTTTCCGTTTTTCCCCTACAAGGGGTGGTAGTTTTATGAGGAAGCCGGAGGTAGGAACAGTAAAGTTTTTTGCATATTTTTGGACTCTTTTTCGTCTATGATGACTGGTGTATAAATCAATTAATTTATTTATAACAAAACTAAAGTTCTTCCGGCATTTAGTAATGATTTTTTTAGATGACACTATTCGAGTTACGTCGGAGTAAAAAAATGAAGAAAATTACTTTATTGGAAGCCGAGAAAATACATTTTTTACGTATATCGATTTTGATATTTGAAATTCAATTTGCTTCAACCTAATTGTTTTGGTATTTTTCACGTGCAATACCAAATATATGTTATAAATATCTGAAAATATGAAATTTTTTTATCAGAAAGAGCTCCAAAAGAAAAAGGCAATGGTTTAAAGATTATCATCCTTTTGTTTATAACTTCGTCACAAATGCCGGTGAAGTTGTACCGGTTGTATGTCAGGAACCACTGCTCATGATTTAACTTTTATAAAAAACGTCTTTCCGAGTCTTTTCTAACGCCGTCTCCTGAATTTAATTTAAGCTAATCGTTACAGATATATTCTATTTGTTTATAAGCTAAAAATTTGTTTGTAATTTTTAAACATTCCTGAGACCGTCCAAATAATCCTATTTCATTTCCATAAATTACGTTAGATAGTTTTTATAAGGCGCACTTTTATATATAGAATTTATCAAATAAAAATGATTGCACATCTTTCAAGATTTACGACGTCAGAATCCCACAGCGTTGCCGAAACATCAGAATAGTTAGTGAGGGATATTTAAAATTTAAACTATTTGTCAAACTGTTATATTAACAGTAAATACACTTGGTTTTAAGACTACTGCAACACACTAAAATACATAAGAAAACATTTTAATACAAAATTATATATTCTAAATTTTAAACTTACTATTTTAGAACATTAATAGTAAAAACTTCCCGCCATTATTTCTTGTTCAAAATAATCTATCTTATATGAAAGCTTATCAGCTTTCTACAGACTATTTAGATGTTTTGGCATTGCACAATCACAACACACAACACTAATTAGTTTTTAAAGCTATTAATCTAAATTTAATGTTTATTTATAAATACAATTTATTAATATATAGTATATTATGATCAAATTGTGTAAGAAATCAAAACATAACTAAAATTCTTACTTTAAAAAAGCTTCAACACTTAAAACAATTTTGCCACATGCTGAAATGTCATTAAAATTTGAAGTATTCCTGTATCAGCTGCGTACAACTGTCTAATCAATTTAATTAAAATTAATATTTTGTGGACTATACTTAAAGAGTTATTTCATAAAATTTATATTATTAATAATAACAAATGTATTTGTTTATTTAATTAATATAATTCTAAAATTCCCAATATAATGATAATTACATTTTTCTGATTATTATATCATGTTGACGAATGTGAAACATCGAGCAGTTCCGTATGGGTTTCGTTTTATTACCTGTGTTAGGAAAATTTTAACTCCAAGGTTGACGTTCTGGAAATTTTAAACATAAGTGATGTCACTTTATATAAATTGTGACGTGCAATGTTTTTACTTTGAAAAATGGTATAGTCTAGTTTTTTTTGTGCAAGATTTTAAAAAAATTTAATTTTTTTAAACAAATTTAGATTGCAAAATTATTATGCGAAATCTGTTAAATCGATTTTAATGAAAGTTGAAGAACTGTTTTACTATGTTATAAACATTTTCTAAACGAATTATGAAAGTACTAAGTGTAAGTAGTTGAAAAACTTCGTGGAAAGATTCGAACGTAGTTATGAGGTTCGAATCGTTTTATAATGTCCCTGTGTCCTCTTCTTGTCGATGGACGATGATAAATATAATAAAAGGTTGAAGTTGTGGAGTAAAATTGTTGATTTTATTGACAGCTACTAGTAATTACACACTATGATGTTCGTTAGGTAACTACTTATGATAGACTGTGCTCAAATGAGCTCAAATCCCCAATTTATAATCTCACAAATAATTCATACCTCAGCACAGAGGTTATTGCTTTCTATCATACCATACCCACAAACTTTGAACTATTTGCTTACATTACAATTTAATCTAGGCCTTAATTGCGACACTTAGGAAGTTCAATTAGAAAATATATTATTCGGCAATTTATTTAGTTGTAGGTAAATGAACTAATTATTAAAATATTATACGATATGGTTTTACAATGCCTCACTCATACACGATGAAACTATAAAAGATTAAGAAGTTAAGAATAATGTGAGATTACAAATTAAAGGGTTAATTTATGATTGAACACATTAAATAAGAAAAAGCTTGTTTCTCCTTCTTTTTTTGAATTTATTGCTATTTTGCAGCAGCGGTAATCAATTAAAACATTGTAACCAGTTTTAAATCAGTATCTTACAGAAAATTTAATTGTCGCTATTTTCTTTTAATACGACTTTACTCCAAAATGAATTGTTTAAAGTTATAAGCAAGAAAATTAAAAAAAATTCGATGTCTTTAGTAATTTTTAAATATTTTAATTTTATTAATGTTCCCGACCCATTTGAGGGGGAGGATAAGTCAATTATTATTACTGTAGTTATCACCTAACTATTTCTGCAAAAATCCGAATGCCACCACTCACATCCAACTCAAAACAGATCCGCCCTGGTTTATAATAAAGGCCGAGAAGGGAGAAAATACTCAAATAATGATTTATTGTCTGTTTCATCGATTACGAGAAAGCATTCGATAATGTAAAACACGAATTGATGATAAAATACCTACAAGAGTTGGGATTGGATGCCAAGGATATAAGAATTATCGCCAATCTGTATTGGAACCAGACAGCAACAGTACGTCTTCAAAATTTCAACGAAACAGAGAATTTCTCCATTAAAAAAGGAGTAAGGCAAGGTTGTATACTGTCTCCAATGCTGTTCACTTTATACGTAGAAAAAGCCTTCGCAGAAGCAGTGGCAGACTCTAATAAGGGTATTAAAGTTAACGGTTTATTTATTAATAACATCAGGTATGCCGATGATACAGCCATATTGGCAGATAACATCCAAGATCTTCAATGCCTTTTAAATGATCTAACTCTTGCAAGTGAAGCTCGGGGTTTGAAAATAAATATCAAGAAGACAAAAACAATGATTATAAGTAGAAATGATTACCCCAACGCAAAGATATATGTCTCTGGAGAAGAAATCAAACAGGTCAGGGAATTCAAATACTTGGGTTGTTTGCTGAACGAGGGTTGGGACCCCGAGAATGAAATAAAGAGCAGAGTTGAACAAGCCAGAAATGCTTTTTTGAGGCTTCGTAAGTTTCTGACTGATCGCAAATTGGACTTCAACCTTCGATACAAGATGCTTAAGTGTTACGTGTGGCCTGTTCTCCTGTACGGAATGGAAGCATGGACGTTAAAGGCCAGTTCCATTAACAAACTTGAAGTGTTTGAAATGTGGTGCCTGCGTCGAATGCTTAGAATATCATGGACGGACAAGGTCAGAAATGACGAAGTACTCAGAAGAGCGGGCTTACAGGATAGAGAACTTTTTAGTTATGCAAAAAGTAAGAAGACTGCATACTTGGGGCACATACTACGAGGAGAAAGATACACTTTTCAGCAACTGATACTCGAAGGGAAGATAGAGGGTAGGAGAGGTCTGGGATGTAAAAAATGTCATGGCTGCGCAATATTCGACAATGCACAATAATATACAGCTATGAAATACTTCGCAATGTTGCTAAAAACATAATTATTTGATCCTGAATATTTAACATCTCACCTGACAAGACGATGTACGGTGGACGCCTACGCAGAAATGCACGGCACCTTAAGAAGAATAAGAATGATTTATTAATCTTGATATATGGATTTTCAGTATTGTTTTGCCAATTTAAATATTGTGTTTCAGGCCCAATAGTCAGACAGCTAGCTTCGGACAAGTCCCTCAACGGCGAAGTGGCGGCTCACATAATGGCAGCAGTTCTAAACGCTCTAACGCTGCACGGACAACACGAATCCAATCAAGGTTCTCTATTGACTTTGGGCGCTCAAATATATGAATTATTGCGACCATCATTCCTTGAAGTTCTCACGGTGATGCAGCAGATACCAGGCGCCAATCCGGTCGATTTACAGAAGTTGGATGAACGAATCTCTGGAACTACTAGTAAAGGGAATAAAATCGAGAAGGTCAAAAAGGATTTGTTCAGAAAGATCACTGGAAATGTAAGTATAAATTCTATCATTGGTCTTTCATTCCGCTATTTCCCCATTTTTACCGGATATTTTAATCTGTCATTATTATTGTTTTTATCAGTTCAGTAAATATTTACAAAGAGAGTAGCCCAATTACACAAAATGCCCAATTTTTGCAAGGCAATCTGTCTGCCGCTTTAACTCTATCCAAATGTTCCGGTTTTTACACCCAAACAAATTTTTAATTTGTTAATTGTCTTTGCTCTTATCTGTCTATAACTCCTGTCTAAAATTCCAAGATTCTATCCTAATTTTTTTTAACCTATATTCATGGATCTATCTATTTCAGTATATTTATTGACATTATTATTAATGTTTTTGGCATATTTTGCAGCTAATAGGAAGAAGCATGGGCCAGTTGTTCAAAAAAGAAGTAAAAATCCACGACTTGCCTCGAATAGTAGTACAGAAAAAGCCGGAACATGAAGAAGTGATCACAAATTTACGAAACGTTTTCAGTTAATGAATTGTACAATTGTTTTAGAATATGTATGTAATTTATTCGCATTGAACTTGTGCAACATTCCGTGTTGTTCAATTGAGATTGACTGGTAAAATCGTAATAAATTGTGTTATGGACTTTATATTAATTATTTTTGCCTAATTTTTGTATATACTTTGTTAGTTTATTTATAATTCTTTTTGTTTATGATCAAATTAAAGAATATAATATAATTCTGAAATGTGCTTTTTATTTCCTTTAGAAAACAGTATTAGGTTATTGGTACCCTTATTCATTGGTAATTATTGGTGACCACTGAAAAGGGAAAAGCTAAAGGAAGATTAAATTATTGGTAAAACTGTAACTAGTATCTAACAACCGTTTTCGGTTCTATGTGGATAGCATAACAAAATAGAATCTATTTAATATAATTATGGAACTTGGACAAATGCCAGACGAATGGAGAAGCAGTATATTAGTACCTGTTTACAAAACAAGGGAAATATACAACAACGTACAAACTACAGGGCCATAAAACTATTTAGTCACACCATGAAAACATGTGAGAATAATAATTGAAGACCTGAAATGCTAATCGATCTAAGTGCCATATTTATCAATTTCATTTTATTCCTGCAAAATGTTATGACGCCAAAGCACTGCTGAAAGATCTAAGTGCCTAACCCCTTCCAAACGGTTTAAATAAATTCCAATGGAATGCGCTGTATGCAAGTCCCAGAGCAATGGAAGTGCTAGTTGATCTATGTGCCAGATGTCAACCAACCATGTTGTTGATGTACATAAGTGCGTTTGTCCGCGGTTAGTAATTGTTTACATGTTTAAAAGATATCTATTTCTACAGATATTAGTACTATACTAAAATCACAATTAAGATGCACTAGAAATAAACAATCCAAAGACACTTGAATATTACGAGTATCATGATTTCCAATGTATAACATTTTTTATAAGGGACTTCGCAGTTATAGAAAAGAGATCTAAGGTAGCAAAAATGCAAACTGTTAAAGATGTGGAAACCGTAATTAGATCAGCCAGACCATCAAGACTATTCCAAGTTTTAAGCATGGATAGATTTTTTAACTTTGATAAAGCATCTGCAATGTGTATCAACACTAAAGATTTAATGATATCCAAAGTGTCGTATTTCAAGATTAATAAAAACGAACCTGGCTAGTTACCAAGAAAAACTTTGGCGAACTGTATGGGCTTGACAAAAAATTCTACGTCCTCAAGAAAAATATTTCTATTGAATACATATCTTCCATGGAGCTTACTACTCTACCAACAAAGGTTCCACTAGCAAAAAAACAAAAAAAAAGGACTTAGGAAGCATGTTAGGTTTCATTCATGAAGAAAACAGAGATTTCTACTATGAAATACTCTGTGATGGCACTTAGATCTTTTGGAAGTAAAACATACCAATGGACTTGGATCTCTTAGAAGTGAAAGCTATCAATGGACTTGGATCTGTTGGAAAAAGTATATGGTTAACATGCGTTTACTCTGGTTTTTGTAAATCTGTACAAAAATGACAAAACCATCTATTTACATTAACTTGTTTGATTAAAACCACTTTTTTTAAATAAAATTGAATTCTGTTGAAAACTGTACATTTTTTTACTTTTCCCAACAATTTTACTTTTGGCACTTAGATCTATTCAGATCGTCAATGATTCATAGACCAATATGTAGAAAAACTGAAATATCCGATGACAAATTTGGTTTTGTACAAGGCAAATCAACAACAGATGTAATTTGTATATAAGGCAGTTGATGGAAAATACAGGAACAAAGAAACAAATGCTCAAAGAAATACTTTTACTAGATTTAGTGAATAGAGGTGTTATGTCACATTTTTAGGATTTGACACCTTTATCGCGTAAAAATGAGGAAGTTTCTTATTCAGAGCAGGTGTAATGTCAAATTTTTAAGGTTTATGTTTATTGTGTTTAACTAATAAGCAGTGCTTTCATGTTGTCTGTACTATTAAAGAAATAAGTGTTTTGATAAAAAATCACTGACATTTTATTATGGGATCCAGAATTAAACGGATGTTTAAATTATTAGAAGAACAAAAGTCACCTTTTGTCAATATTGATAAGTATGTTGAATGATTTTCACTAACAGTGAATATTATATTTTCAGAGGACTATAATTTATTAATATTACAGTTGTTATTTACATTGCTATTGGGACATTTTTTATTTGCAGATAATACAAACGATGGTTTTCAAGAAGCTGCTACATCATTCAGTAATATCAACGAAAGTTTTCAAGATGTTACGTCCGGTAGTGAGTATTTTCCATGCAGTGATGAAAACGATTCTGATCATTCGGAAAATACTGGTAAATATAATAAAGAAAATATCGAGGAGGTTAAGCGTAACTGTTTCTCTACAAATGAAGCAACATTACAAGACATACAAATTACTGAAGCAGAAACTGAAAATGAAACGATTTCATCACCCAATAAACAAAATATACGACACGTCACTGCTGATGGTATAGAGCAGACTTTATTAAAAACAAAGTTGTTTACACCCAACCAAAAGTATCCAATAAGCGATCATGTAATCCAGGGGAGTGGAAACGAACAATAGGTGCAAAACTAAAGCAAATGGGTCAAGAATATATTTCGCAAACAGGAAAAGTAATGAAAAGGAAAGAAATCAAGCTTGGAGTACTTTGTACAGAGCAGTGTCGTCTGAACTGTACAAACAAGTTCAATATAGAGGATAGAGAAATGTTTTTCAGAAAATTTTATGCTTTGAGTAGGAATGCTAAAAATACTTTACTGTTTAAAAGTATTACAATACAACCAGTAGCTCGTCATCGTCATCGTTCTAATACAAGATCATCAAAAAATTACACCTTCAAATATGAGATAACACACAATAAAAAGGTAATAATAGTGTGTAAAACTGCCTTTTGCTCTCTTTATGGAATTGGCCGAAAAAAAGTTGAAAGACTACAAAATTCACTAAAGCATGTCAAAAATCGTCCGCACAAAATAAGTGATGATGTGGTCAACTGCATTGAAAGACATATACAAAAGGTTCCAGCTGAAAATTCGCATTATTCAAAAAACAAAAATGCGTACAAGAAATACCTTTCTCTTCTGCTTAATGTAAATAAACTGTACGAACTGTATATACAAAACTGTAAAGAACAGAACTTGAATAGTGCATATATGGTTAAAGCTTCTTTCTACAGACACATTTTTGAAACTAAGTTCAATTTATCTTTTGGCTATCCGAGAAGCGATACTTGTAGTGTATGTGACGCTGAACAGAGCTCGTTAGAGCATAGAGAAAACTGGGAATTTGCTTACAAGTCACAACAATTTGATAGGCAAGTACCAACAAAAAACATATGCTATATAACAATGGATCTCCAACAGACCATGCCGCTGCCGAAGTTGTCTAAATCAAAGGCTTTTTACTTGAGGCAAATATGGATGTTCAACTTCGGTATCTATTGCAGGAAACATTCAGGACATAAATCCTATTTTTTTACATGGACAGAGAATATTGCTAATAGAGGCAGTGACGAAGTTGGAAGTTGTCTGTTTCGTTTTTGCAAATTATTAAAAGAAGAGAATCCTGAAGACCATTTGATAATATGGTCGGATTCATGTGCAGGCCGAAACAAAAACTTTTTCATTACCTGCTTGTACCAATATTTAACTTTAAATAACTGGTTCAAAATAATTGAACATAAGTATCCCGAAGTAGGACACAGTTGTTGTAGGATATAAGTTAAATCTTATTAGAATTTCACGTAGAGTAATACTACAAAAACAAATCACTTAAACTAAACTGTAACAAAAAAAAAGCTGTTGAGTGTTGACTGTCTTCTCCTCGCCACTACTTGCATCCCCTCTCGAGGGCTGTAAAATGAACATTGGGTTGTACTTAACTAAAAGTGTAGTATGCGGGGTTGCTCGAAAGTTTTAACATTTAAGCCGCCGACCTTGAACGCCTGCAGGGATTCAACAAGTAATAAAGCTGAGTTAAAAGTTTCTTTCACTGAAGCTTAAGTCACTGATCTGTAGGTAGGACGCACACCTTTGTCACTTGTAGCTTGAAACAACCTCTATTATTTTTAATTGTCACTGCACGAACTATTCCGTCACTACCTGCATGTAATTGAGTCACTCTACCCAGGCACCATCTTAAGCGTTCAGTTCCATCTTCCTTCATCGTCAATAGACTTCCAATTTTGAGAAGACTGTGGAAATGTTTTTTCCACTTAACTCGCTGCTGGAGAGACGAAATGTATTCTTTGGACCACCTAGTCCAATAACCTTGGATCATTTTTTGAAGCCTTTGGAATCTGCTAAGGCTGTTTTCCTTGACATCTAAGAAGTTCCGTTCAGGTATTGCTGTCAATGTGGATAAAATTAAAAAGTGTGCAGGAGTAAGAGGAAGTAAGTCGGAAGGGTCGTTGGACATTGGTGAGAGTAGTCGTGAGTTTAGGCACGCTTCAATTTGAAATAAATTCGGTAGTTAAATTGTCGCTAATAGTTGAACCATAGGTATTAAAAAATTTGACAAACTCATTTTTTGCGCCAACGAAGGTACTACATTGTCCGAGAGGATGGAAGCACATTTTCCGCGTCGAGAAATAAAGCGTTTTAGCATTGTTAGAAAACTTTCAGTGGTCAAGCTGCTCACGACTTCCAAATGTATGGCCTTAGTTGCTAAACTGACAAATAGAGCTATGTAACACTTGATAGTTTTATAATTTCTATATATAATATAATATAAAAGTTCCAGATCAAAATGTATTCTCTCAATTTAGTCAGAACTAAAAAGCTGTGACATAGCACCTTTGTCCACTTATGTCTTCATTTATACTTGGATGCAGCACATATTTCCACGATGTGAAGGTGAATACACATAATATGAAATACCGTTGGCAATGCTCTCGGTTTTTAGTCGATTCAGCTCAATCAATCGGTTATTCGCGATTTAGAACAAAAACTGGAACAGTGGAGACAAGCTCTTGGGGTTAAGGATTTAAAACTTAGTAGGACAAACACTAGAGTATTTGGAATGTTTATTTCAGGTTGGAGTTAATATAAATAGCGTGGTATCTTTGGATGCTGAAAAGTAATAATTGTAATACCTATACCTTTTTTTGTATAACAGCTGGGCGAAAGCTGATGATCTCAAATTTTTGGAGAACCGTTAAAAATAATTCAAATCAGGAACTTCTTCAAGAGGAATTAAATCGTTTGTCAAAGTGGTGCCAAAAAATAAGCTATATTTGAATATAAAAAAATCCAATTTTATAAGTTTCTCTAGAAAACTACTAGGTTTAAGTAAAGGTATTTACTGATAACCAGCCACTACAATACACATCTAAAGTAACAGATCTGGGTGTAATTTTCTATGAAAAATTAACTTTGGTCAATCATATTAACTAGCGGACCAACTCGACATCGAGTTTTTTAAATGAAATTTTTATTTTGCGAGAAAAATTATGAGATCAATGCAAACAATATAAGCAAGAATATACATAACATTCATCAATAATAATGCAAGTAAAAAGTGTATTAAATATCACGAAATATATCGTCGAAAACAATGTTTTTTGTTACATGTCTCCATTTTCTGAAAACTTTTGCTTGGCACCGGGAGTTATGTAAACTTTTACTTTTTAATAAAAACGAAACCGGAAGTCGACCTCAAAACCGGAATGCAATTTTTAGTTCATCAAATTTAATCCATGTCGACATGAATATCATTTAACAGTTAATTTTGCATGCTGATCACGAATCCGGTGTCAGATTTGCTCTATCTTAACGTTTTATGCACGTTTCGGGTCACTTCCGGTGTCGGATCGCAACCGGAAGTACATATTTAGATTTGTCTCGACGAGACCTTTCGATCCATATATACATTGTGGGGTCTAAATTAATTTCCAGTCATCTCAAAACCGGAAATGAATTTTTGTACCAAAAGTATATCTTGACAATCTCATACGCAATACTAATAATATTCCGAAAAAATATTTTAATTATCTAATATGGTTTTTGAGTAAAGTGGTGGACAAGAAAAGGGCTTAGCGTTTTAGTATATAAGATATATTAGTGGGTCACAGAGGCTGGGCTTTAATAGTAGAAATTCTAGTTTTTTCTCCATTGCAGCCACAAGAATAGTCTATTGTTCTTTGGTTAGGTCTATGCTGGAATACTATTCAGCCATATGGTCTCCTTATTTCAAGATACATTCTGATTGCTTAGAGAGGATTCAGCATAAATTCCTATGGATGTGCGCCATTTTAAAGTGGAATTATAATAGCAGACCATGACTACACTATCATGGAGAGTTATATGACCTTGTCTTCTGTGTGAGGAGGGAGGGATCTGTTTGGTTTAACTTTAATTTTTAAATTAATAAATGGTAGATTAATTGTCCCTGTCTTGTGAACAGAGTCTTAGAGTACCATATTATCATGGTTTGCATCATCTATGTAGAATGACTTATGGTGCCAATAGCCCACTGAATAGATACTTATCCTTGTTAAACAGCCTGAATGTAGATGTATTTAACATATCTCTTGATAATTTAATATATCTACTGGTACCTCAGAGTGTGGAAACTTAACTTAATTGTAATAATACTCTATATTTTTATTGTAACTAGGTAATACTTTTTTATTTTTAATTTTATTTTCCCATCATTACAGTGCTGGATCTTAGAATAAACTGCTGAGTTTATGATTTACTTATATGTATGTGTGTTTATATGGGTATACATATTTTTAGTCTCCATTATTAACTGAGTACATACAGTCTACTCAATATTTTGAATATTGTAAAATTTTTAATGGGGTTGTTTAGTATATTAAATAAATATCACCTACAAATAGCATGACCATGTCATCCTACCAGTGCTGACCCATATGTCAGCCAGCACTAGCACTGGTACGATGAGTAGTCTATGTATTGTAAATTTAATTTTATATATAAATTCCACTGTTACTTTTGATACATTTATTTACAAAAATATATACACATTTTTAATAATACAAAAGTTTATCAAGTGTCAACAATAACTGGTGCCTCATCCTCTTCAGAGTCCAAGTTATCAAAATCCCACTGGTACAAATCAGTTAAATTTTGTATAAACCTTCCCACTTTGGCTTTGAAGGGGGCATCAACATCTGATTCTTTGACAGATCTAAACAATTGTTTTAGCTTAACATAAACAAAATTACTATTAGACACTATATCCGCTAAAAACTCCTCAGGAATCTCTTTTATATGAATATCAGACATAGTTATGAATAAGTCATACAGTTTTCTATGCTTTTTAATGCCAATTTCACAAGAACAAAATAAATTAAACAATTTCTTCCACTGTTCAAAAGCTTCTAAACTGTGTCCAACCAGGAAGCAAATATAGCATATTTGCATTTCTCCTAATATTTCTGTTGACACAGAATATTTGGAAATCATTTGATCTAAAACATATGATGAATCTAAAGAATGTTTGGTAATTTCAGATGGTGTAGAATTCTCGGGATAATTTCTTTCTGGAAATGAAGTTAATCTTAATTCAGTCCCTTCTTTTACTTTTAAATTTGGTAAGAAGTTGTGTTCTGTATCTTCTGTAAGCCTAGGACTTTTAGATGATGAATGACCTGCAGATGTTTCACCATCCTCAGACTTCCTCTTACCCCTAGGTCTATCTGCATCTGTACATGATTGTAATTCTAAGGCAGACTGTACATAGCCAGATAGAGGAGTTATCCTTTCAGCTAAAGTACTGGTGATACAGGAAGTCAAACTAGTCCATTTATCCAAAATACTATAAGGATATGGGCCTAAAAAGTTATCAAGTAGTAGTATATTTTCTTTCAGTTGTACTACCTCATTTTCTGATACATCTTCGCTACTGATACACTCATTTTTCTTATCCCACTTTTTAACTAAAACTTCAGATTTTCTAAACGTCTTAAAGAATCCTGTTCTTGGGGCCGTATCACCTGTATCTGACACCGCACTAAAAAATATGTAATGCAGTCCAGGCGGTATCATTTTCACCCCCCGAAACTTTTCACCAGTGTTCCAAGACTTCATGTCAATTCCAAATTCAGTACCTTCAGGCACATCAAGTAAAATGAAAAATGCACCTTCGGCTAGAAGCCGTTTTGCTGTTTGTTGATCCATATACACTATATAAAATTAAATGTTTTTATTAATTGTGTATCTTACTTCGTTTTTGGAGGTTATTTTTGTTTTGCTTTTGATTTTGATTTGTATTTTTCGTCTTCTGTCTTCGTCTTCGTTAAATACAAATTGAACAAAATACATGAGGAGGAAATAAAGTGGTATTGAATCTGCAAAGGACAAGAGGAGAAACATTTTAATTCGATATTTTGTGATAAGATTTGTGGAGATTCTATATTATTATCCAATTCCATATCAATTATTAGAATAAATAAATAAAAAATGTAATAAAATTCCTGACTGCTTGTGGTTATAAGCATATAAGCCGGGAAAAAGCTGCTAACTTCAAATGATTCCAACCAAACAATGTCAAATGTCATATTAAACGACGGTTTGTTTTGTTTTTAGGTTATACTTTATTTTTTCAAATTATTAAACTAATTTTTACAATGATCGATTTATTAGATGGAAATAGAAAAAACTTAAGCGAACCATTTTACACAAAGAAACTATCAGAACATGGCCAAATTGTATTTATACAGTTTTCTCCTTATGAATGGTCCCAGGACGTTTTCTTAATTGGTTTCAAAAAGAAAATTTTACTAGCTCATCTCGAAATTACGGTATGTTTTAATTATTCAGTTAAAATAGTGTACATTCACAATTTTATTTTAGGATGTATTGTCAGTTAGAATAATAACGGAATTCTCCCATCCAGTAAGATGTACATCATTAAGTATATCTCCAGATACATCTTTGACTGCCTTACCAAATAAAATTATATTTTGTGCAGGAGGCAATGATTTTAAACTCAGAGTATTTAATAGCGACTTGGGAGAAAATAATACATGTAAAGTAAGAGAAAAAAACTATCTGTTTTGTATAATTTTAATATGCTATCTTGTCTGTAACATCCACCAAATTAACTGCCTTCTAGGAACATGACGATGAGTAACTCTATTTGAGTCTACTGTTTCTCATAGTCAGTTTTTTTATCATTCATATTTGTTCACATTTTCTTAGGTTTTATTTCTTAAGGGTTGTTTAATTAGATAACTTCTATAGTTAGTACATTCCTGACATTAACTGTCTGTATTATCAATGTTGTACATTTTTTATCATGTAAGCTTTACCTTATCTGCCACCATGTTTTGTCTCAGTAATGCACATTATTTTATATCATATTAAAGGAAGAGTAAAGAAAAAATATATTAAAATTTAATTTTTTTGTGGTTTCCACAATTCCACAAAGTTTTATTCAATATTAAAGCTAAAAGAAGAAGCAAAAGAATATGAAAAAAATAAAGTACATGGAAGAAATGAACTGTGCAAAGCAAATATAATGGTTTGGTGCAAAATTGTACATTTTAGACATTTTAAAGATACAAGAACAACTTACAAAAAAAAAGAAAAAAAATATGTACTTAAACTTTTATGTCTCCTATGTGCATTAAAAAATATATTTAGAAATAATTACTTTGGCTTTTGTATATAAGATATAATTGTTCTTATAATAAATTTTACATAAAACATGTTATGATTCTTTTCTTTTTTACAATCTAAATAAAATGTTTCTATCACTGTAGGTATTAAGTGGCCACACTAGTTATATTAATGATTGTATGTATGATCCTGAAAACACTTATTTGGCATCAGCAAGTGATGACAACACTGTGAAGATTTGGTCCACAGATGATTATGAATTAAAGTCTACATTTTCATTAACATCTCCAGGTAAATACATGAAAATATTTTATTAATAAAATAATAACTGTATTTAAAATCAATTCAGGGGTTTTAGTTCTAGTAATGGATACATTAACTTATTACTGCTTTAGTTAACAGCAAAAACACATTTGTATGTCATGTTTGTTTAATTGCCCCAATTAGTCTAATAATATTTTATTGTGTGTGAGATTTATTATTATATTCCATGTCTTTACTCTTTGTGCTTCTTTATCTATCAATAGCATGTGTCTGGTCATGTATGTGTTCACTTAGTATTTTTGTAGTAAGAACAAACTGGACAAATTTATTATCCATCTTCTTTTCTTCCTTCTGATTATACAGTACGTAAATTTTTCAGCGGGATATAGGCAATATATATTGAGATAAGTGTGGCAACTGCACTTTCTTAAGTCTCAAGAGATGAAAATATTTGTGCTACCATTGAAATAGATAACTCAAGAACCACCAGAATTATCACTGAGGAGTTAATAGTTTCTATCAATTTGAAAGTTTATAAGTTGCTATATCAATACATAAGCAGTTTAAACATAAGAATATGAAACACTAGTTTATAATGACCAATGTATACCAAAATTTGTACATAAATGAAAAAAAAAAATAAGACATATAAAACAAAATATACAAAAGCATTAAAAGCATTTTAAACCAATAATATAAAAAATATTAAACAAATAATAAAAATATTAAACAATATTAATAAAAAAAATACATAAAAAAATAAAAAACCAAACAAAAAACAAAAAAAAAAATAAAAAAACCACTGCTTCCGGAACTGGATAATACTGGATAGACAACAACTGGGCACTGCATATGCATGGATACAAGACTGGATACCTACTACTAGAAAATTGTATAAAAAATTGTATAAAATTCTAAAAAATAAATAAAAAAAAATATATATTAAATTCCCCAATTGTATAATGTAGAATTTTTACCGAAGTTATATTGTTTTTAAAATATTAATAATTTAAATGTTAAATATTGATAGATTTTATTTTAATCATTGTCAAGAATCAAAGTCAAACATGTTTAGGCGAATGAAACCATAGGTTTCACAGTCAATATCCCAAGCACAAACACACATCCTTTTCGCTGATGTATTGTTATTTTACGTAACGGGCCATAACAATCCTTTTAGAACGCGGTATTGGTCTCAGGAAAATAAATATCTAAGTATTGTACATCAGACCCAACACCCTCAAAACTTTTAATGTGTATTAGAATTTTAGGTGACCATGTAATTGGTCCATTTTTGATTGATGGAGTTCTGATTTCATCTAAATATCCTAGTCTTTTATAAGATACCATTATTCCAGCTATTCAGAATCTCCCAGATGTATGTTTAGAAGATGTCTGGTACCAACAGGATGGCTATTTCATTCATAATGCTTTTTAGGATCACATTATAAGCAGAACAAGCCATATTAAATGGCCTGTGAGATATCCTGATTTGGCTCCCATGGATTTCTTTTCTTGGGAACATATTAAATCCACCATCTATGGCAATGACCTCGGGAGGGCACAAAATATAGTTGATTTAGAAAATAAAATAAGATATGCTTGTGTTATGCCACAACAGCTTGCAAATGTAAGACAAGCATTTTATAATAGACTAGGTTATTGTCCTGCAAAAGAAGGTGGTATATTTGAACCTTTTATTTAGTTTACTAGTTATTTTGTGCAGTAGAATGCATTGTTTGATGAATTTCGTTAAATGAATTATTTATTTGTGTTTAACTACTTTAAGAATAATTTTAGAATAATACTTTCTCTTTTTTCGGTGGGCATAGCCCACAATAAAATTTTTCAAAGGTTTTTAACTGCATTGCAATAACTTTAAATTATTTACACATAGCAGATTTAACTCACTCGATGCACACCTAATAGAGTCTTAATTGATACTAAAAGTTAAAATGTCTGTGTATTGACCATGACCACAGCAGTGGGCTTGAGAAAGCACAGTTGTCACACTTACCTCAATGTATATTACCTGTCCTATTACCCGGCCAAGCTGAAACATTTACATACTGTATTTTGATTTGAAACAGCAGTGTGGAAAAATGAAATTATTAGATACAAACTCATGGTTTTGTATAGAGAATAGTATTGAAGGCATTGAACTTTAGATATTTATCACCAAATGGTAAAATTCTTATTCCCAAAGGCTTGAAAAATTTCTGTAACAATAACATATTAATAATCTCTTTAAAGACTTTTAAATATTTAAAGCCTCACTTCAAAAAAGCCTTTCTTGCTATATTAATAAAATTGATTGACAAAAATTGACTAAATGAATTTACAAATTTACAAAATGTTTTGAATTTTATTTAAAAAAATAATTATTTTAGGGATGAATGTATGTTGGCATAGAGCAGATAGTGGAAAACTTTTAGTAGCTGAAAAAATTGGAATAATACGATTTTACAATGTGGAAACTGAAACTTCTATACTTTCTATTGACTATAATAAACCACTTTCATGCACACATTGGGCACCTTCAGATAGGGATATAGTAGCGTCACTTCAACTTGGAGAATTGCTGTTGTGGGATTTAACCAAACCATGGTAATTATTCATTTTTTTTAATTATATTGAAATAAATAGGTCATTGTACTTTACATAACTAACAGAATTAGAAAAGAGCAATGGTAAAGAAAACACAAAATGAAAAATGGTTTACTGTAGGATAAACAGAAAATATGTTGGTTAATTTTTGACGTCGACGGAAAGTGGTTAGAAGTGTTGTAATATTTTTTTTTGGTATTTTTATAAGTATACAACCAAATACGCATATGCTCATATACTCCAGTCGCCGGAGACGAAAATGCCACTGAACCTCTAAAAATCGTATGAACAAGCTGAATATATGAAAAAATATCCAAAAAAGTTTACCACTGCTTCCCCCTATTATATATAATAATTTTGAACAAAAATGTTTATCAGCACTTTTTATGTAGAATGGACCGTTCTCTCAGAAACAACGTTTGTTACGACCGGCGATTTTGAATGTTAGTTCCACGCGCGAATTCGATTTTAAATTAAATTTATATCATCTCGTAGGTAAAAATTCGATATTTTTTGTTCAGAGTGCAGCTTTCGTATGCAATTTTTGTATTCTGCCATAAATTAAGTCAGTTTTTATATAAGTGTTAAATAAATGTTGCGCGATTTTTGCGATTTTTTATGATTCTCATGAGACCAATTCCATTGTTAGAGCCTAATCTTTAAAATCTATATTACGAAATTTCGGTTTTCAGTTTTGGCAATAAATTTGGCAGTTTTTAAGATATTTGAAAAATATCTTAAAAACGCCGAATTTAAACTTTCACATTACAAATGATCTAAACCATTTAAAACTGCTTCTTTCTAATTACACTAGTACGTTTTTAGAAAGTACACAACTTCAGTTACAAATTCCACCCAATACCGTCTTCGTGAAGGCATTTCCCTTGACGAGCGATCGTTTGCAATGTATCGCTAAATTCTGCTAGGCATATTTCAAATGCCTCATGTTTCTTGCCAAAACTGTAAATCAAAATTTCATGATAAAGGTTTTGAAGATAAAGCTCTAACGATGGAAATTCCACTACAACCGGTCAATGAAAATAATAAGTTTTATTTTTTTCATGAGAATCGTAACAATAGCACAAATCGGGCAACATTTATTTATTTTAAACCTTTATAAAAACTGACTTTATTTGCGGCAAAATGTAAAAATTGTATATTAAAGCTGCACTCTTCACCTTTCGAACGTATTTTGATTTTTGTTGATAGGACACTCTGATCAAAAAGATATCGAACTTTATCGTCGAGTTGATACACATTTTATTTAATTTAATTCGCTCGCGTATAGGTAATGGATTTTGGGAACAGCTATGACCTAGAAAATTCCACAAAGAATATAACTAAATATCTCTTTTCTTACTCATACTCTTTAAAGTCTTTTACAATATTTTAGAATCGAAGATATGTAATTATATTATTAATGTATTGGATTTTGACAAGAGCTATGCATTATGCCTATTTAGTACACAAGTTTATGTGAAATGTTCAAGGTCATAGCTGTTCCCAAAATCCATTACCTCTAATTCACATTCAAAATTGCCGGTCGCTTCAAATGTTGTTTCTGAGAGAACGGTTCTTTCTACATAAAAAAGTAATAATAAACATGTTTGTTCAAAATTATGTCAGCTACATGTTTTATTTGAAATATTTTTTCTACGGCGTAGGTACAGATTCTTGGTAAATCGATTTTTTCCCCTACGAGGTTGCGTTCCAGGGGGAAGACGGTGATAGGAGTGGTAAACTTTTTCCATATTTTTTGGGGTTCGAAAATTGACGTCGTCAGCATTTTCGTATGATTTTTAGATGTAAAATCTCTGACGACTGGACTAATAGCCAATATTAATTTTAACTTAAAAGTAAAAAAAAATCGTATGCAGTTTATCTACAAAATAAAACTGCATGAATTAAAACAATAAAATATGAACAAAACAAAACTTTTCATATTATAAGATGTTTAAGCCCAAATCCGGGCGTGTATGGAGAACTTTTAGGAGTCCGTGTATGGAGAAGAGCAGCCACACACAGACAAGGGTGGAGGCAAAAAATAAAGGAGGCCAAGGCTCATTTTGGGCTGTAGTGCCGTAGAAGAAGAAGAAGAAGAAGAAGCCCAAATCCGACACCCTGATAGGGTAAAAGGAAGGGGAGAAAGAAGGAAAGAAAGAAAGAAAGATGTTTAAGATTGTGAGTATAAATAATTGCTAAAAATTAATGCATAAAAGAAACAAACACCAATTACATTCTGCCAAATGCGAAGTATTATATATTAATAATCTCTAATTGAAAAAAGCATAGAAGTTGTGATCAAATCACTGGTTACAGCTAAAGAGTATTTCTCAAAATACTTAAAATATTAACAAATACCAAAAGAGATAAAGTAACACCTTAGCTCTCTAAACTCATTAAAACATATTTTTATTCGAAAACATCCTTTTGAAAAGTTACTAAAATACCAGCTGTCCCAAGCTCATCAACGTGGAAGAAGAGTTCAATTTTTGTTGGTACCCTCACACCTCGGAATAACGGAAAACTAAGAATCTGACAGGACTGCACGACAGGGAATTTTAAGCGATTATTCGGAGCCTATAGACAAGTGTGTTTCCATTGACTCAAAAGCTTATTTTAAAAATAAAGTGTTGTGTTTGTGGGGAAATGAGTGGTCCCAAACTAATTCTAAGCTGAATAAGATCAAGAGTAATGTTTTCCAGTGGATTCTATCGTCGCTTAACAGGCGTGAACAAATGGTACATGCGCGTCTACGTCTAGGACATACCAAGTTAACACACTCTTACCTTTTCACAAAGAATAACCCACCCATGTGTGATCAGTGTAATGTTCGATTAAAAGTCGAACACATTTTAAAAAATTGTGGTAAATATGATCAAGAAAGACATCGTTACAATATCTCGAACTCTGTAGCAGAAGCTCTAGGTTAGGAGTGTTCCTACGATAATATAATTAAATATCTAAGATCTTTAAACATTTTATATAATCTGTAGTTATTCAATTTTGATATTTATATTTTGTTCCGTGGCTAATAATCTCTTGATGGATGTGACTTTTTTTTCTAATAAAAAAAATTAACAATCTTAATCTTAATCTAGATTTCAAATTTCAACATTTCTGTTACAAAAGATATTTCCTGTTTTAGTTTACCTCTACAAAACAATATATTATTCCCTGAAAACGGAGGACGTATAGCATTTTCCCCTCAAGGAGAGTTGGTTGCAGCTGTTAATAGCTTAGACAGCACTTTAAAGATTTTCCATATCAGAAGCCAAGCGGTGAAACTGACAGCGGGTTTAACTTTACCTACCAACGTTTGCTGGCATTACAGATATCCTTTAATTTGTGTGGGTGATGACTTTAAACTATGCTTTTGGAAAGTCACTGCTAATTAATGTTTTTTAAGAACTAAACTTTTTTTAATAAAATATTTTTTAAGTACCTACAAATGTTTTTTTTTTATATATGAAAGCTCTAAATACAGCTCGTGTTTAATAAAAATCAATTGAAATCAATTCAATCATTAGAATCAATGTCAGGTAAGACTGCAAAAATCGACCAAAAACGTATTGATGCAAAACAGGAGATGAAAGTGATCAGAACTCCGTAGTAACGATCTCAACATTGCAACTTTTGCCATCCCAGCCATATATGCTATCATTTACTTCCATTAATATAACAAAGGCTTTCGAAAAAACTGGAATCGGGCTACTAAACAGTCTTAATTTTGACTATTCTGGAGTGTTCACATATGGACTTTCCACAAGTTTATAAGTTAAAAATAACTGTGTACCAATAACATCTTTTGGGGATTTTGAATTAAATGCGACAAACTACTCAGCTCTTACTCATAGTCACGAAATGCCTCTAAAGGGAGCTGATATTCTGGATTTTATTACGGATTAATGAAAGAAGTGCTGACAAATGTTTTCAGCCAAGATTCTTACCTGAGAGTAACACAATCTCCTAAACGTACAAAATTAGTAGATATTCGACCATTTCCTACATTGCAACCAAAGCCGAACAGACGTGGTAGGAAAAAGAGAAAGTCATGCATATCTACTATAGAGCGTTCCATGTTAAGAAAATAACATTGCGGAGATAGGGCCATGTATTTCTTATGGACGATAGAACCGCGACGATGCCACGACAAACACCAGCACGATTCATGGTTGTATAATTTGTATTTTCGTTTTTACAGACATGTATTAAATTAATGTTTTTTAATGTACTTGATCAAAAGTGCCCATTCGAAACAAGAGATGAAAAGTAGGGAAAATGATTTTAATTAAATAAATAGTATTTATAAAAGATAATTTTATTTTATCCTATTTTAATTATAGTAACGACAGTTTATTTGTTTTTCGGTAAGAGTACCATATACCATGAATCATAGAAATCAGTAAAAAATATTGCTTAGTTAAATCGTGCATTTTTCCGGCTATTAAAGATTTAAAAGCAAATAAACGGATCGCTTGGTGTGACAATAAGCTTATTATTAGTCGGTAGTTTTCTATATTTGCGGCGTCCCCTTTTTTATGGAGTAGAATGACTTCCGCATTTTCCATGCTTTTGGTATTTTTCCTTTCAATAGGAATTTATTCAGTAATGCTCTTATTGCCTCTTCTAATGCAGTACCTCCCATTTTTAGAATTTCTGAAGTAATTTTATCTTCTGGTGTTTTCCCATTTTTCATTTGTTTTAGGGCGGCTCTAATTTCTGATGTTATTATTTCGGGGAGATCCTCTGAGCCAACATTTAAGATATGTTTTGTTGGTATACCGGGGTTCGGAATAGTAGAAGTATACAGCTTCTCATACAATTTTCGGATTTCTCTAACGATTTCTTCCTTATGCGAACACAATGTTCCACGGTCGTCTTTTATCTTTATGATTTTATTCCTGCCAGAGGATTTACATGTTTTTAGTACTTTCATGTTCTTATTGTTCTCTATTGTTTCAAGAATCTGGTTTGTTCTATAAGCTGTGAGGTCTTTTCGAATAATTTTCTTAACGCTTCTGTTGAGCGCTTTATAGTCCGGGATATCTCTGTTTGTTCTTCTTCTTTTCTCTATCTGTTCTAGAGTCTCGGGTTTTAGTTTAGTTTCTTTTTGTTTTCTTATTCTGCAACAAAGTTTCTTAGTGACTGTTTGTATGTCTTTAGTTACTATTCTTTAGTTAATATTAACATATTATTAACTAGCATTAAAAGCTTAAAAAAACGAATAACAAATTAGATAGGTATACATGATATAGGTATTCGTTGAAGATATGGACGTATAAACATTATACGTCCATGGTTGAAGGCAAGTTAAAATTCCTGGACGAAACGGCAATTCATCCTTATTTATACTATACATTCTGTGATCATAGTAGTAGTAATTTTCTCGCTGTGTATCAATTTGCACACTCTTTGACTTTACTGACATCTTTACTGACACAAAAAAAATCAAATTAGGAACTTTTAAAAATTAATTTTAACTGATTGTAATACTTTATAAAAATATTGTTCTGAAGCTAGTTTCTTGTGGCACATTATTACAATTTACTATTTTTACTGGGAATAAGTGAAGCAAATAAAGTAAAGTACTTTTCGATTTTCACTATAGAAATTATTCTCAAATTACAAATTTGTATTTTAAGAACGATCTAAATTAAAGTAGGAATATTACTATATTTGATTAGTTTCAATTTTGTTTGTATGTGATAGTTGTTCATTTTTTCGACATAAACTAACTGTAATATTTTCTTCTTCTTATCACGCTTCTAATATCACACACGACTAGAAATTTCCATAAAGCTTTTTATAAAAATGGGTAAAGTCAGAGAAGATTTATCTTTACCACAAAAAGCACTAAAATAAATAAAATGGACACCTATTATATCTATATTTTCTTGGCACCCAATATAAAACCAGAAATTAATAACTTAAATTCTATAAAATTGTTCCCAGTTTATTGGCCCAATAAATTAAACTTTTAATAGCTTTTTATATGATTTATATATTTTTCATAATGATATTTAATACAAACTAGTTTTTATTAGTCTTTTTATTACAACTAAATTTATTTTTGTCTTTCAATAAGATTTGTAGGTGTGAAAAATGTATTATAATTTACTACTAATTTTATTTTCTAAATCAGAAATTATAAATATGTACCATTTATTCCGTTTTTAAATGTTATAGGTACATTTAAAAACGGAATACATGTACATAGGTAACTAAGTGGGCAAAAACAGATCATTCTAAATATTTTTTTCTATATATAATTTTTTTTTTTTTATTTAAACACAAAACCACATCAACCGCGCAGGGTTATTAGTGGCTGTAACAAATACATGAAATATTACATTAAATACAATTGAATCATACATTAAGTACAATGAAATATTACATTAAATACAATTGAATAAATTGATGTCTTTTAAATAACTTAACACTGTTGAAATTTTTTTGGTGAGAACTGTCTTGAGATCATCATCTGTGAATCCATGGGATCTTCTTTTTTCCATGAATTGAGGACAATCAAGCAAGATATGTTTGACAGTCAGTGGGTTAGAGCAGCTGCAGCAGATAGGTAGTGGTTCTTTTGTTATTAAGTATTTGTGTGTTAAGGCAGTATGGCCAATTCTTAGACGATTAATAATGACTTGGTTTCTTCTGTTTAAAGGAGTCTCCAGAACATCAGTTATTTTTGGGCAAATTACATTTAGTTTAGTACCTAATTTTTCCCAATAATTTTGCCAAGTATTAATACAATGGATTTTAACCAGGTTTTTTAGATCGGTGTACGGATATGTCTTCAATTGTGCAATATGGTTTGAGTTCATTCGACTTTTGTTAGCCAGTTGATCTGCTTTTTCATTTCCGTAGATACCTATATGTGATGGTACCCAAATAAAAGCCGCTTCCTTTCCTAATGATGAAAATTTTTCTAGTACGTTTTTTATACTCTGTATAATAGGGTTGTTGGTATATATTTGTTTCAGTTTCAGTAATGCATTTAATGAGTCTGTTACGATAATGCACTTCATCGTTCTACTCTTTTCGAAGAAGATTAGGGCTTCCAAAATAGCTGTAGCTTCACCTGTTAGTATACTGCAGTTGGTTGGTATCGATATGCTATAAGAATTTTCTTTACAGTAGTAGGCAGCAGCGTGACCATTGGGAGTTTTAGAGGCATCGGTAAAGATTTGCAAATAATTAGGATAGTGGTCTAGAATTTCCATAAATAGAGATTTAATTACTGTGGAATTTGTAGTAGATTTGGGATACTTGGTAAGTGTTACATCAATAGTTAATGGGTGGCTTGTCCATGGGGGATAGTTTGAGTTTATATGTAGTGTTGCATTGAAATGATTCCTATCAAAAGTTGTAAGGTTTATTCTTTCTATGAGGGGTGTAGAGTTTTTAGTCTTATTGTTAGGAGGAAGGCCAGGGTTGCAGATATGGAAAAATACAGGATGCTGTTTCTGGGATGATATCTTTGCAATGTAGTTCAAGGATAGTTGCTGTCGTCTTATATGTAAGGGAGGTTCTCCAGTTAGAACTTGCATGCTACTAACTGGACTAGTTTTAAAAGCTCCCAGTGCTAATCTCAAAGCTGTAGTTTGAATACTGTTTAGTTTTTTTAGAGTGGTTTTACATGCAGCATCGTAACATATACAACCATAGTCGATTTTAGTTCTAATGAGCGATTTGTAAAGCCTAATTAATATTTTATGATCAGCACCCCAAATTCTGTTGGATAATATTTTGAGTATATTTAATCTTTTTTGGCAGGAAAGCTGTAGTTTATTTATGTGTGAATTCCAATTTAAAGTTCTCTCAAAAGTTAGACCTAGAAAGTTTATTTCTTTTGACTGTTCTAAAGGTAAATTATTTAATGTAAGACTAGTTGTGAGGTGGGTTTTATTTTTATTAAAAATAATATATCGTGTTTTTTCAGTAGAAAAAACAAATCCCGTTTTAATCGTCCAATTACAAAGCCGATTTAGGAAACTCTGTATAATATTAGTTGCTGTCCTTATATTATTCGATTTAGTATAAATAACAATGTCATCTGCGTAAAGACTAGCTTTAATGGGCGCTTTAATTACATCAACAATACTATTAAAAGCGATTAAGAATAAAGTTGGACTAAGAATCGAACCTTGAGGAATTCCATTATCTAGTATTTTAGATGAGCTTGTAACACCATTTATTCTAACTTGAATCGAGCGATTTTTTAAAAAATTTTTTATAAATGCAAGTATGTTACCTTGAATGCCAGTATCTTTCAATGTTTGTAGAATACAGTGTCTCCATGCTCTATCGTATGCTTGGGTTATATCGAAAAATATTGCTATTAGTTTTTGGTTATTTGCAAAAGCTTCATTAATTGAAGTCTGTAATGCAACGTGATTATCTAATGTGGACCTGCCTTTTCGAAAACCACTTTGGAAGGGAG